TAGTTTAGCCTTGTTTTATCTTATACAATTTTTTTTTTTTTTGCATTTCATCAGATAATTAACCTGGCATGAAAGAGACTGATGAATTAAACCTGCTTTCATACGCTGTTCTGGAACTTCGATTTGTGTGTGGAAAACAAAAATTAACATGATTACCACATGGTATTCACAAGTTTATCAAATGGTTGTCAAGTAGTTATTCAATGGTTATCACGTGGTTATTAAATGATAATTACATGATAATTACATTGCTTATCACACTTTAAACTAAACAGTTATTGATTTTCAAAACATCACCTTGTTTGATAATTAACAAACAAATGCCCATGTTGTTTCCAAAACTTCGTATAATGAAACAAATATCATCAAAGTCGAGATATTGCTGTTAATAAATGTATCAAATTATATATATATATATATATATATATATATATATATATATATATATAGGCCCTATATATATATATATATATATATATATAGGCCCTATATATATATATATATATATATATATATATATATATATATATATATATATATATATATTGGGGGGTGTAGGCCCTCAGCCAGTCACAGCCTGTATTCTTTATTTGAAAAAAATAATCCATTAAGAGCAAATGTTACAGTTCCAGGACCGACTTCATTCTTAAAATCCTTTCTTCCGCCATGTTGTATACGTCACATTTACAGTTCTCTATTGAGGTCATGTGGCCGATAAAAATAGCCACTGCATTCATCACTTCGATCTACGTTGTGAGGGTTGTGGGTGAGGACTGGTTGGGTATGGGCGGGGAGGGAGGGGCTGGGATAAAATGAATGTATCATTCAATAGTGAGCTATTTTTAGACGAGGTCAGTGCAAGTGACGGGTACCACTTTGTGGGATGGATAGGATGATTAATTTGTTGTGTGACAAGATGGATGGGATGATTAATTTGTTGTATAGCAAGATGGTTGGGATGATTAATTTGTTACATGGCAAGGTGGATAGGATGATTAATTTAATGTATAGCAAGATGGTTGTGTAAGTCGAAACTATCGGGGTGTTTAAAAAAATCATACAGGCAACAACCCCACTATTATTTGTCTACAAACTCCACTGTCTATTAGTTATCTACAATCAGCGATGTCTATTAGTTGTCTACAATCAGCGATGTCTATAAGTTATCTACAATCATCGAAGTCTATTAGTTATCTACAATCAGCGATGTCTATTAGTTGTCTACAATCAGCGATGTCTATTAGTTATCTACAATCAGCGATGTCTATTAGTTATCTACAATCATCGATGTCTATTAGTTATCTACAATCAGCGATGTCTATAAGTTGTCTACAATCAGCGATGTCTATAAGTTGTCTACAATCAGCGATGTCTATTTGCTCTCCACGAACCTAAATAACCATTAGCCTACCACAACCCCAACTGTAACCAACGCATTTCTTTTTACTTATTTAAATCGTGGTTTAACTACTATAGTTTAAAGAAAATAATTTACTTTTATTCTTTACTTATAATTATATAAAATCTTGTAATTAAGAAGTATTTAAATATTATTATTTAGTGATTATTAAAAAAAATAAATCAATTCCCATATTTCATTGAAGAATATGTCGAAAGATCTAAGAGCGACAACCATTAATAACCTCTGCATTAGCAGGAAATTTAGGAATAATCTACCCTTACTTGTACCATTTCTTACTTTTCTATTATTGATATTTGTTATAAAAGTACGAGCCGGCCCGCGGCATAACATACGCCGCTATTTAGTTGTTTCTAATTTTCAATAATTCATAATTTGTGAATTCGACAGTACCAACGCTGACACTGAAAATATTTCTTTAAAACACTATAAGTAGCTCGTTAAGGACCATAACCCCCCCCTTCCTTCCCTCCCCCCCTCCTCCCCCCCCTACGTTTAAAATCGTTGGCTCTGCTTCTAAACATTTAGAGTGAACACAGCTCACTAAAACCATGTAGGGGTGGGGAGGTAGGGAGAGCGTTTGCAGCTTGTTTTCTAACGGCTCGAAGAAGAGAATTATATATATAGATTATCAAAGACGTGTATTTACTAAGGCGCCATGTTTGTTTGTTTACTAAATTACAATTTTTATACTTTTACATAATGATGTCCGTTACGTACTTAAGTTACATTTCCGTAAAAAAAAAAAAACAACACGTAAATTCAAAAGCAAGTGTAACTATTTATTTATTTGGCAATCTGAAATATTACAATGAATTTAAACTTTTAAAAAGTTTATTTTTCCATTTATCATGAAAACATCACACCAGTTTATACATCATACGTATTATTTACTAATTCAGGGCGTCAAAAATATAGAATTATATCTTGTAATACCAAATACACAATATGTTTACATTTGAGTTATATATATGAGCACATTGCATTTCGAATAAAAGATTTGTATGCTTGAAAACGTAGACTTTACACGAAAATATATATTAAAACATTTTTTTTTTCATTTCATTTATTATAAAAACTTGTTAAGTTTCTTAAATCAAACAGACCTTCAAATGAATATATTTTAAATGTAACCCACAACAATCATGCATAAAAATTAACAAATATATCTTTCACATGTAATTGAACCTACTTAGGTTTACATTTACTACATTCATAACATCAATAGCATTATTTGTAACTTGATATAAATATGATGTTTGTAACATCAGTTACTCATTTTTTAATCGGCTCATACTCAGTTCAATCTTTTACTTCACGCACATTACGCGTTTCATTTCAGTCACATTGATAATTTTGTTGTTATTCGATGTGTTTACATTTGGTCATTAAATATTGCAGTGACAGACTTGCTACATGTTTTTGTAACAGTATGTTGTCACATGCATTTTGTTCTTATATTTTCCTGTAACATTATGTTATTACACTCTGTTGTTACACTAAGTAATTACATTATGTTGATACATTATGTTGATTCATTATGTTGTTACACTATGTTGTTACACAATGTTATTACATTATGTTGATTCATTATGTTGATTCATTGTGTTGTTACATAATGTTGATACATATTTTGTTACACTTTGATTGCTCACACGGCCGTGCTGTACTCTGTTCTATTTCTGACTTGACATAACACCGTCTCACTGTAGAGTTTGACCGCCTCGTACAACGTCCAGTACTGGTGCTGGGGAGTTAGGTTTTCTTTTTGTTGAAACGGAAATATTAATGGTGTTAAGTGAAACGAGAGTAAAGTTTCCATTTCAAATCTAATAATTCTTATGGCAGATGGAGTAGAGTTCACCTGTTTCTTGACCTCTGTGTATACAGGTTTGGTGTAGTTATCGGATCTAATAATTCTTAGGGCAGGTGGAGTAGAGTTCACCTATTTATAGACCTCTGTATATAAAGTTTGATGTAGTCAGCATTATGCCGCACCACCTTTAATTTCCCTTACGTGGGTCAGGTACCTATCAGAGCTGGCTGGACATATGCTTGTCTGGGAGTCCCAAGTTTGGACCGAGATCCGAACTCGAGATCTTCCGGCTAGTAGTCTAGTGCTCTACCTACCGACCACGACGTTCAGATGATGTTAAATAGTTTAATGTTGTGCCACACTTTATGTTTTATTATTTACAGAAAGCCTAGGTGAGGTCACGTGATTAGATGTATACATTCATTTCAAAAATAATTTATAATAAGAAAAGAAACATATACTTTTGATTGAATAATACGGGATAACTTTAGCTCTGATTGATTTAAAGCACTTTTGACTTAGTGTTGCTGGAATGACTTCAAACAGTGGCGTAGCGGGGGAGGGGAGGGGGGCGGAAGGAAGCGGACCGCACCGGGTGACACCATTTAGGGGGTGAGATCAAGGCAAAAAATAGCAAAATATACAGAGAAAAATGATAATTTCACTTAAGTGATTAATTCAAGTGTTAAATAGTCTTTTAAGAGCAAATTTGACAAATCCCGACAACGGTGGAGGGGGGGGGGTGCTAATCGAAAGTTTGAGGGGGGGGGGGGGGTGGTGCAAATCGAAAATTGATAGTTTGTCCCCGGGCGCCGGGAAAAGTCGCTACGCTTCTTGGGGGTGACACCATTAAGTGCCGCACCGGGTGACACCCGACCTCGCTACGCCACTGACTTCAAACATGACTGCAAGAAAACATAATTGACTTACTAATGTCGGGATGACTTCTTGTCGAATTGACTTCACTTTCCCAACGACAACTGGTACCGAGAAACACTTTTCACGATCGAACTGATCGAGGATTAGCGACAATACACAGGCTAATCCACATTGTTCGGCGCCGTTCCTGGGGAAAAGGTGAAATGCAAAACACAACTAGTACACAATGGTGAGTTCTTTTGCTAGGAAACAGTTGAAAGATTTATAGGCAAAACACAACTAGTAGACAATGGTGAGTTCTTTTGCTAGGAAACAGTTGAAAGATTTATAGGCAAAACACAACTAGTACACAATGGTGAGTTCTTTTGCTAGGAAACAATTTAAATAGTTAAAGGCAAAACACAATTAGTACACAATGATGAGTTCTTTTGCTAGGAAACAGTTGAAAGATTTATAGGCAAAACACAACTAGTACACAATGGTGAGTGCTATTGCTAGGGAACAGGTGAAATACAAAACACAACTAGTACACAATGGTGAGTACTTTTGCTAGGGAACAGTTGAAAGATGTTTAGGCAAAACACAACTAGTACACAATGGTGAGTTCTATTGCTAGGGAACAGTTGAAATATTTATAGGCACAACACAATTAGTACACAATGGTGAGTGCTTTTGCTAGGGAACAGGTGAAATACAAAACACAACTAGTACACAATGGTGAGTGCTATTGCTAGGAAACAGTTGAAATATTTATAGGCACAACACAATTAGTACACAATGGTGAGTTCTATTGCTAGGAAACAGTTGAAATATTTATAGGCACAACACAACTAGTACACAATGGTGAGTGCTTTTGCTAGGGAACAGGTGAAATACAAAACACAACTAGTACACAATGGTGAGTGCTTTTGCTAGGGAATAGGTGAAATACAAAACACAACTAGTACACAATGGTGAGTTCTTTTGCTAGGGAACAGTTGAAATAATTAAAGGCACAACACAATTAGTACACAATGGTGAGTACTATTGCTAGGAATCTATCGTAAAAAAATCTACAGACAAAACACAAATTACTCTATACTCACTTTGTTGAGCACATACGGTTTAGGAAAATAAAAGTCAAAATGTTTAAATAAATATACACCTCGACACACAGTGTATGTCTTCTGAAACGTGTTCGTTTATCTCTCACCTGCACATCCAAACCACTGCCTCTTTCTTTGTCCGCTTTGAACGGAGAAGCTGTACAATGTGTAGAATGTGATTCGCTTCATAATCAGTAGCGGTGTACGACAGGTGGGTTATCGTTCTTGACTTGGATTTCTGGAAACAGAAATGTATGATACGTTCTATAAATGTATCAGATTTGACTGTCAAACCGTGGTTACATCAATTAAATTATATACAAAACAATCTTATCAAGTCATGTTAGAATGAAATGACATTTTGAATATTACGTCGCCTTAAGTATATCATGAAAATAAATAAACATAAATACAATTTACAAGTTTACACTGTGATAATGCGAAATGTGATCAGTAACTTTAGTTTAAATTTTAACTTTAGTTTGTAAACCCGAATAAAAATATCACTTTCCTGCCCCATTCCCTCTTGCTGTAGTCTAAGCGTTAGCTCCTCAAAACATGTTCCTGATGTGAACGACTCTTTATACACTCTTATGGTCCCACACAACAGTGGAGTTTCCTCACTTTCTGGTAAATACACGCCAATGGTCTAAACAGTTGGAACAAATAGACTTATTAGTTCTAATGGTGTTTGTGGATACAATTTATTTGGCAATACATATTGGTTTATTGGGTAAATGGCAATAGAGCTATAATGTACTTAAAATATTACAGCATCATTTTTTCTGAGTTCTAGTTCAAACGCTACAATGAGAGTGACGTCATACTGAGAGACCAGTCTCCAGAAGTCGGTGACCGTCGTGGGTAGAGGCAGCTGAGTGAGGTAATCGATTGTTCCAGAATCAGACACCTGTGGAAAGATCATTGAAACATAGACTGGAACTGGGGTGTTCTAGAATCGAACACTCGTAGACATAATATTCTAACACACATAAGTATTTGTATCCCTTCTACACGGACCGTATAAAATGTATCATTTTGAATCTTAATCCTGACACGTCTGAAAATTAAAATTACTCTGTCAATAAAGGTCGTAGTTAATAAGTGAGTTAAATTTGAATTTAAGACTAATCTTAGTTATATTTTGTTTTCATTTCTTATGTAATATAAAGATATACACAATTTTTTACAGTCTAAGTTGAAATGTGTCTTTAAATGGACTGAAAAGAAAAGTCATTAAATTACAACGATATTTGTCGTTGAATGGTAAAGTAATTAACTAAAGATCATTGATGGAAGATAAAATTATTAAATAAGGAACGGTCTTTGCTGAAAAGCGTCTTTAATTATACTGAAATGTAGTCATCTTAGTTGAAAGGTAGAGTCATTAAGTAAAGAAAGCTCTCAGTGACTTAGTTGAAATATAACTTGAACTGTAGTGTTTTCTACAGACGTTCAGGTGAGACCCAACCGTACCTGAACAGATACAGCATTGATGTAGTCCCCTATGTCGCTATAGTCGGGATGTAATAGTGGTCGGTACATCTCATCTGTGGTAGAGAGACGTGCAGAGGTTAGTAATATATATATGTGTGTGTGTGGGGGGGGGGGTTCGAGTACTTGATACAAGCCATATATGTAGGCTGGGTCTACGACAAATTCACGAAAGACGCTTGCCTGAAGGCCGTTTGCCCGAATTACAAGTGTCTTTTGGGAAAACGCCTGGCTCCCATGTAGGCTACATGTATCGGCAGAAGTTAGAAATATGTGTGGTGGGAGGGGGTCGTGTACTCGATACAAGTCCTATAATATGTAGATATAGTGGCAGAAGTTAGAAGTATGTAAGGGGGGGGGGGTAATGTACTAGATACAAGCCATATTTGTACAAATACCAATTTTTGAGATCAACGCAAATAGTATAACATTACATTTTGGTAGGGGGGGGGAGAAAGGGGGGGGTGAGGCATTGTTCATACCACCCATAATTTGCCTTGTAGAAAAGGGTATCATAAATAGATCGATGCCTTTACAAAATACCAATTCAACTATGTGTTGGGTTAGGGTTCGAGCACCAATAAGCAACACAGTCAAATTCGGTGACACCACAACGAAAGATACACCACCTTTCTAGAAAACTCTGCTTAAGGTTTGCATTACTCTTTAACCATAGAGCAACAAACTCCGAGACGAATGTGATACCTAAATGCCTTTAGTACATAATGCTGCATAATTATTCGCTGACCCAGTAAAGTAAAAAATAATGTAAAGAATCATCTAGACCAAGCGATCCATTGGGCAGATGAAGTAGAGAATATGCTTCTTGACCTCGGCAATAAAGGGAAAGTGTGGGCAGCACTTTACACAGCCGCCTTTACTTTTTCTAACATGATTTGAGTATCCGTAGAGTTGGGTGGACTTAGGGACGATCTACTAATACATTTATCATATTAGAAGTGCTAATGCTATTTTCTATTAAGTACTACACCCATCTAGTCCAGGGGCGTAGCGAGGGTGGGGGGTGTGCAGACCACACCTGGTGACACCATTTAGGGGGATGACACCAAGACAAACAATAGCAAAATATATAGAGAAAAATGATAATCCCACTTAATTAAGCGATTAATTCGAGTGTTAAATAGTCGTTTAAGATGTGCAAATCGAAAGTTTGATGGGTGGGGGGGATGGGGGGGGGGGGGGTGCAAATCGAAAATTAAAAGTTTGTCCCCGGGAAGGGTCGCTACGCCTCTGGGGGTCGACACCAATAAGTGCCGCACCGGGTGACACCAGACCTCGCTACGCCCCTGATCTAGTCTACTGTGTGGGCGTTGACGTCTTACTTGTGTAAACATTGAACCTGTTTTTGTCCGCATGGTCGACTAGAACCTTCTCCTTGTCAGGGTCAGCTTCAAATGAAGTCGTTATGTACGTTAGATTCTAAGTCAGGGGAAAAACAATTGGCTTTGTTTGTTTAGGGTTTAACTGTACATTTGTAAACTGAGAATGTTTCTAAAACTTCATGCACAGACAAAATAATGAATTCATAATATAAAATTCGAAATGAATTTAGAACTTAACAAAATAATGCTACAGAGTTTTTTTCAGGCATCTCTTCGAGATGGGGGGGGAGCTAGAGCCCGCAGAGAAACGTATACGGCACCCCCCCCTCCAAAAAGAAATATGATTTATATAGAAAATGTATATGTTTGTCACCCCCCCCACCCGAAAATTTAAGTTCGCTCGCCTCCTTACAACCCCCCCCCCCCCCCCGCCAAAAAAATGTCAAGAATTTTAAAATAGCAACCAAGAATATACGAAATCTACATTGAATTCTCGTTCCAGTTGCGTTTCTTGATCCCTATAGATCCCAATCAAAAACACCTTCAGAAACACCTCGTTCAGATGAATGTATGATCCGTCACAGGTAACCGCTGCCATAAGAGCGTGGTGTAGAAACATGTAATAGTCCTGGAATAGAGTACAAAGTACATCATCTACACTGGTTAGTTGGTTCACAAGCTGAAAAAATTGCACCCTACTTCTGTAACCTTCCATACAAGCTTTCAACCTCACTTGACTAGTCGTAATGCATCGGGCTTTCTTACAATTATTTAACAATGAGCATTTTTAAATTAAGGCTTTGTCAAACATTCCTTTGTAAACATTTACTAATCACTTACATAAAATCTTTTAAAATACATAACTCCATATAGATCTTTATTGAGATGGAGTACATTTTAAACATGAAGTGCTATTATAGCTCTTCTAACTACAATACTACGGCAGGTGTTTCATCTTGGGGCGCCACCTTCTGATACACTGAAACACTCAACATGGATCCTAAGCTGTAGCCCCGCTCTCTGATAGACTGATACACTCAACGTGGATTTCAAGATCCTAATTGCTATAACTCAAATAATTCAACCAACTTACAAAACTATCAATCATTTGAGATCTGCCCCTCCTAATTGCTATAACTAGAATAATTCAACCAACTTACAAAACTATCAATCATTTGAGATCTGCCCCTCCTAATTGCTATAACTAGAATAATTCAACCAACTTACAAAACTATCAATCATTTGAGATCTGCCCCTCCTAATTGCTATAACTAGAATAATTCAACCAACTTACAAAACTATCAATCATTTGAGATCTGCCCCTCCTAATTGCTATAACTAGAATAATTCAACCAACTTACAAAACTATTAATCATTTGAGATCTGCCCCTCCTAATTGCTATAACTAGAATAATTCAACCAACTTACAAAACTATCAATCATTTGAGATCTGCCCCTCCTAATTGCCTTGACTGTCCCCACGAAGTCGACTGATTGGGTGGTTCTTGCTTGCATAAGGAGATCGTGAAGAGCCAAAAATACTGACGTTCTCGTTGATCCATTTCTAAGGAGTTGAATACTTAACTCTCACACGATTGAAATAGTTATATATATATATATATATATATATATATATATATATATATATATATATAAAATGTAAGTGCGTGTTTCTCTCTCTCTCTCTCTCTCTCTCTGTGTGTGTGCACATAAATATGTCTACTCTTCAACATAAAGCAGAATAAAGTACCAATTCAAACCAATTGATTTTTGGGCAGGTGAAGTTGAGTTCACCTGTTTCTGTGACTTCGGCTAATGAAGAACAAAGTGGCTGCCCTCCCGACTTCACTTTCTCTAACATGAGTCAGATATCTGGTGGGGGGGGGGGGGGATTTACGGACGTCTTACGGATTCTATCACTGGATCCGAACTCAAGACTTTCGGGTTGGAAGTTATACACTCTACCATCTGACCACGTTCCTCCTTAAGTAGCGGATAGTATGAGCAACAAACCATACACCGAGTAAATGAACAAAACAGCAGGTACAAGCTGTTTGACTAAGCTGTAGTGTAAGGCTTTGATAGAAACCTTTTTATTTAGTAAACTCACTGATGGTCACTACTGGACAACCAAGAGATGACTGACCTACAATGTAATGCTGACAGATGACTGACCTACAATGTAATGACTGTGTGACAGATGACTGACCTACAATGTAATGATTGTGTGAGAGATGACTGACCTACAATGTAATGATTGTGTGAGAGATGACTGACCTACAATGTAATGACTGTGTGGGCTGACAGATGAATGACCTACAATGTAATGACTGTGTGACAGATGATTGACTTACAATGTAATGCTGACAGACGACTGACCTACAATGTAATGACTGTCTGGGCTGACATAAGACTGACCTACAATGTAATGACTGTCTGGGCTGACAGATGACTGACCTACAATGTAATGATTGTGTGAGAGATAACTGACCTACAATGTAATGACTGTCTGGGCTGACAGATGACTGACCTACAATGTAATGACTGTGTGGGCTGACAGATGACTGACCTACAATGTAATGATTGTGTGAGAGATAACTGACCTACAATGTAATGACTGTGTGGGCTGACAGATGAATGACCTACAATGAAATGACTGTGTGCAGATGACTGACCTACAATGTAATGCTGACAGATGAATGACCTACAATGAAATGACTGTGTGACAGATGACTGACCTACAATGTAATGCTGACAGATGACTGACCTACAATGTAATGACTGTGTGGGCTGACAGATGACTGACCTACAATGAAATGACTGTGTGACAGATGACTGACCTACAATGTAATAACTGTATGATAGATGACTGACCTACAATGAAATGACTGTGTGACAGATGACTGACCTACAATGTAATGCTGACAGATGACTGACCTACAATGTAATGACTGTGTGGGCTGACAGATGACTGACCTACAATGAAATGACTGTGTGACAGATGACTGACCTACAATGTAATAACTGTATGATAGATGACTGACCTACAATGAAATGACTGTGTGACAGATGACTGACCTACAATGTAATGCTGACAGATGACTGACCTACAATGTAATGACTGTGTGGGCTGACAGATGACTGACCTACAATGAAATGACTGTGTGACAGATGACTGACCTACAATGTAATAACTGTATGATAGATGACTGACCTACAATGAAATGACTGTGTGACAGATGACTGACCTACAATGTAATAACTGTATGATAGATGACTGACCTACAATGTAATTTCTGTGTGACAGATGACTGACCTACAATGTAAAGACTGTGTGACAGATGACTGACCTACAATGTAATGACTGTGTGGGCCACATATGACTGACCTACAATATAATGACTGTGTGACAGATGACTGACCTACAATGTAATGACTGTATGGGCCACAGATGACTGACCTACAATGTAATGACTGTGTGACATATGACTGACCTACAATGTAATGACTGTGTGACAGAAGACTGACCTACAATGTAATGACTGTATGGACCATAGATGACTGACCTACAATGTATTGACTGTGTGACATATGACTGACCTACAATGTATTGACTGTGTGACATATGACTGACCTACAATGCACTACCGTTAACGCCTGAGTCGGCTCACGAAATACTCGATGCTCAAAGTCTACCAGACGCCAGATACAAGGTACGCTGTTGTCAGGCCAGGATGTGAAATGGAATTGGATCAACGTGCAGACCTCGTCATCCCCCTGGCGGAATCAAGTGAACCATCCAATCAACATTGACTTATTTCATCCAATCAACATTGACTTATTTCATCCAATCAACATTGGTTTATTTCATCCAATCAACATTGGTTTATTTCATCCAATCAACATTGACTTATTTCATCAAATCAACATTGGTTTATTTCATCTCAATATACATTTAGTTCATTTAGTCACATTACATATATATATATATATATATATATATATATATATATATATATATATATATATATATATATATATATATATATATATATATATATATATAATTCTCTTCTGGGAGACGCTAAAAAACAAGCTGTAAGCGCGCTCCCTACCACCCCACCGCTACATGGTCTGGTGAGCTTTGGTTCACGCTAAATATTTACAGTCGTAGAGCCGGGTTTAGTGACGGTTACTAGGGGCAGATAATTTATTTAAAACGATTTTAAACTTAGGGGAGGTAGCTAAGAGGAGGCTGTTTTCACGGGGGTGGGGTAGGGGTTGGGGAAAGGAGGGGGGTATCGTCCTTAACGAGCTACTGATAAATCAAAAAGCAAATATATTAAGTGGCAGCATTGGTACTGTCGAATTCACAAATTATGAATTACTAAAAAGTAGAAAATAAAACAACTAACTAGCGGCGTATGATACGCCGCGGGTCGGCTCGTATAGATAATTTCATCACAATAAGTATTTAGTTTATTTCATCAAATTATTAAAGTAATATTTCTGAGCTATAGCAACATCGTCAAAAAAAAAAAAAAAGAAAAAAAAAAGCCTTACCTTTACTTTTGTAATTTCCATTTTTCTGAGCGTATAGTCGGCAAATACCTCTGTATGCAGTACCTTCACTTTCATGCTGTGGAAGAGTCTTTCCGTGTCGTCCCAATATTGCTTCTGCTCCTAAACAAACATCATCAGGCATTTAAAATCGTTTCCATAAAAAAATTCAATTATTATCTAAAGTGTTTTTTTTTAAACCCGTGAAATACATTTACATTTTTATTTTATGTTATAAAACAATGTAATCGTGCAGATTATATGAATGATATGATTGGAAATAACACAGTATTGTAATATTGTCTGAGTGTAAGAATACCGCTTGAGGTAAGTCGACGAAAGTGTATTTACTCTTAATGGTTCCATGACAAATGATCTCAGGACAAAAGATCTCAAACAAATAATCTCAGGACAAATGATCTCAGGACAAATGATCTCATGAAAAATGATCTCAGGACAAATGATCTCAGGACAAATGATCTCAGGACAAATGATCTCAGGACAAATGATCTCAGGACAAATGATCTCAGGACAAATGATCTCAGGACAAATGATCTCAGGACAAATGATCTCAAGGACAAATAATCTCACGAACAAAAGATACCATGACAAAATATATCAGCATAAATGATACCATGGACAAATGATCTCAGACAAAGTATCATATATTTCTAGAGATTTAAGATTGCTTGAAAAAGCATTATCTTTCCAGTTTTTCAAAATCCTTCAGAACGTAATAATTGTTTATCGCTGTATTATAAAACCAAAAATAAAAATAAAAAAACTCCTTACCTCTCTGTTTTATCTCAGTGTACGCGAGATTTTGTCACGAATTAATAAAAGACGAAAAAGAAGAACACAAAAAATGTGAATACTTTACAACCTACTTCGTCACTGTCGTTTATATTGTCCAACATAACAACTCGACTAACTTTCTGCTCCCACAACATTCTCAGGAAGTCATCAACCATAACAATGTTGGGACCTAGGGGAAATTGCCTGTATCAGTATACTTATCATGTGGAGTTTTTTGTTTCTATCAGAACTAATTACAAAGTTCGCTTATATCTCACTTTATTGGTATACCTTTATAATTAGTTTGATGTAAAGTTTGCTTACATTTCATTCTGTTGGTATACCTTTATAATTAGTTTGATGTTAACTTTTATAATTAGTTTGATGTAAACGTTGCTTATAGTACACTGTATTGGTATACCTTTATAATTAGTTTGATGTAAACTTTGTTTATAATTCACTCTGTTGGTATACCTTTATAATTAGTTTGATGTAAACTTTGTTTATAATTCACTCTATTGGTATACCTTTATAATTAGTTTGATGCAACTATTCAGTTGACAAACATCAATGTTTTTATTTTACAATACATTTACGAATCCGAATATGAAGATTACAATATTGTGTTAGCTGTTAAGTATGTAACACTCTAAGGACAAAAAGATAGACGACTATAAAGAAAATAAAAACTACCTTGTGATGCTATAATTATATCATGATCAAGACCCTGTAGAAGAGAAGGTAAAATTAGACCATATGAAACGTTTGGTAAAACTGCATTGTATTGCTTGTTTCTACGTATAAGCCCAAAACTATATATCATATTTTAATATATACAATAACATAGAAATTGTAGTCCAACCTTCATTTTATGATAATCTGCAGACAATTATAAACATGAGGGGAAGCATGGTTGGGTGGTAGAGGTAGTCTAACCCCCCACCCCCCATTCAACCCAACAAAAAAAATTGTAGAAAAAATATTTACTTTTACCAGTGACCGTATCCCCGGACATTTCGAAAAAAAAGTCTGGAAGAAAGACTGAATCAAAGGCCAATCAAACGTAAACGAAAAGCAATTATAAATAACCTGTCTAGTACATGTTTAGCGTTTAGATCTAAGTCTTAACGATTGAGCACTTTACGTAAAGTGGAGATTTGTGTGCAAATTTAATTAAGTCTTACTTGAATAAAACTGGCGTTAATGTACTCCCCTTGATTTTCTTCCGCATTTGAGATCAGAAGGACACGAGAATGGTCGTCTGCTCAAAGTTATATAGCCAGCAAGTGTGGATTTTTGCCAAAAAATTATGTGTGAAATGAAAGATTTGAGTTTTGTAACTATAGTTTACAAATATATATATATATATATATATATATATATATATATATATATATATATATATATATATATATATATATATATGTATATATATATATATATATATATATATATATATATATATATATATATATATATATATATATATAAGCATATACATATATATTTATATAATTATGTAATTATGATTTCACTGATGGAGTTTTTAAATAGTTTCATCTGTGTTGATAACTCACTGTGTAACACACAATGCGAGCCACGACACAATATTCGAGGCACCGCACAATATACGAGGGACGACACAATATACGAGGCACGACACAATATGCACGACACAAAATACGAGGCACGACATAATATACGAGGGACGACACAATATACGAGGGACGACAAAATATGCACGACACAATATACGAGGCACGACACAATATACGAGGGACGACACAATATACGAGGGACGACACAATATACGAGGGATGACACAATATGCATGACACAATATACGAGGCACGACATAATATACGAGGGACGACACAATATACGAGGGACGACACAATATACGAGGGACGACACAATATACGAGGGACGACACAATATGCACGACACAATATACGAGGCACGACACAATATACGAGGGACGACACAATATGCACGACACAATATACGAGGGACGAAACAATATGCACGACACAATATACGAGGCACGACACAATATACGAGGCACGACACAATATACGAGAGACGACACAATATGCACGACACAATATACGAGGGACGACACTATATGCACGACACAATATACGAGGGACGAAACAATATGCACGACACAATATACGAGGGACGACACAATATACGAGGGACGACACAATATGCACGACACAATATACGAGGGACGACACTATATGCACGACACAATATACGAGGGACGACACTATATGCACGACGCAATATAGATCTACGAGGTTTGACATGATTTTTGTACTTTTTAATTTAAAATTAAAGAAGTGATATCTTTCTGTTCTTTAACTTGAATAAATCAAATTATAATTTAAAATGTTTAAGACCTTATGAATATGAAAGTACGAGAAAATGTTCTGGATAAAAATATATATACAGTGGGAAAATATTCTGGATAAGAACATGTCTACAGTGGGAAAATGTTCTGGATAAGAACATGTCTACAGTGAGAAAATGTTCTGGATAAGAACATGTCTACAGTGAGAAAATGTTCTGGATAAGAACATGTCTACAGTGAGAAAATGTTAAAGATAAGAACATATCTACAGGGAGAAAATGTTCTGGATAAGAACATGTCTACAGTGAGAAAATGTTCTGGATAAGATTATATCGACTGTGAGAAAATGTTCTGGATAAGAACATATCTACAGTGAGAAAATGTTCTGGATAAGAACATATCTACTGTGAGAAAATGTTCTGGATAAGAACATATCTACTGTGAGAAAATGTTCTGGATAAGAACATATCTACTGTGAGAAAATGTTCTGGATAAGAACATGTCTACAGTCACTGGCCATATGTTTGCGGACATTTGCTGATTCCTGTAAGTGGACGGACTTACATGCTGGGTGATTTATCTCTTCATTCTTTAATGAATTCTCTGCCAGTAAACCGCACACTTTAGTGGCATCATGGTTGTCTGGTATTTTCTGAAAAGAAAATTGTGTACAAGTTTATAGCATTAAGCTTGAGTGTTAGCAGTTTTTAAATTAAATATACATCATCTACTTGGGAGGGGGTGGGGGGAAATGGGTTCCAAATGCAGTACATTAAAGTTAAGTAGAAGTCAAATGCAAAAAAAAAATCACATTAAACTGCTCAAAGAAGTATTAATGGGTTCCAACTGCAATTACATTAAAGTTAAGTAGAAGTGAAATAAAAAAAAATTTACAGTAAACTGCTCAAAGAAGAAAAGATTTCCATTTTCCAGAATATAGCTCATTAACCTCGCTATTGGTATTACAGTTGTTGTTCTTTTTTCTTTTTCTGTAAACAAAATGATCGGCATATAAAAATACTCATAATCATATATCCATCTATAAGTCCGTCCATCCGTCTGACCGTTCGTCCGTCCTTCCGTCCGTCCATATATATATATATATATATATATATATATATATATATATATATATATATATATATATATATATATATATATATATATATAAATAAAATATATATATATTTACACATATATATATATATATATATATATATATATATATATTACATATATATATATATATATATATTACATATATATATATATATTACATATATATATATATATATTACATATATATATATATATATATTACATATATATATATATTACATATATATAGAAATTACATATATATATATATATATATATATATATATATATATATTACATATATATATATATATATATATATATATATATATATATATATATATATATATATATATATATATATATATATATATATATATATATATATATATATATATATATATATCTATATATATATATATAAATTACATTCTAAATTATCATTTTATGTATCGAAAACTGTATCGCCTACGTAATCCAATTAACAAGCTGAAAATAAATCAAAGAAATAAGCACACGAATCAGAGTTTCTTCCTGGCATCTTTTCGGCTGGAACGAAATAGAATATTTATGGAAAATATATACTTTTGACAGTGTCCCCCCCCCCCCCCTCGAAAATTGTTGTCCGCCCCCCCCCCCCCCCGAAAATTTCAAGTGCACCCCAGGAGAAAAAAAGTCTGGAAGAAACACTGACACGAATTGTTTTCTATTAAACAAGTACGTGCACTTATAATAACCGTTACACTAATAGGTAATTGAACACAAGTTGATCTAACAAACCTTTGCATAAAACTTTGACTTACCAAAAAAACTTAACATTCAACAAGAATTGTTATAATACGTAAAAAAAAAACACGACAAAGTTACGTGCCCAGAGCAACTCCGATTTCAAAATGTACGTCTGCAAAATTAGAGAACCACGTTATCATAATGCATTGTATGTATAGAAGTTAGTAGGTATAATATATTTACACATGAAACATGATATATATATATATATATATATATATATATATATATATATATATATATATATATATATATATATATATATATATATATATATATACATTTGCGTGTTTTTGTGTTTGCGTGTGTATTTAGAAAATAAAAGCAAACATACCACATCCACATACTATAATGTAATACCGCAAAAAACACTTTGTAATCTATTTCTATTTAGAACTCAGATTTATTCATACGAGGGAAAAATTAAATTATTACCCAGCATTTAGATAATAGATATGAAACGATCAAACACACATTAGTTGCAATTTCAGATGTCGTTGCAAAAGAAAAAAAAAAGAAATTTTGATTCCAATGATAAATCTGTCACGCACTATTGAGATTGTTTATAAAATGTGGACGTTTCGAATTTTTTTAAAACAACAATATAATATGTCAAAATTATTCAAGTGTAAAATTGTATAAACAGTTTACCTGATTCTACTTGATGAAAAAATCCGCTCCACCTGCGTATAAAATGAGATATGATTTTAAAAAAGGCGGAATGATGTAGAAAATGTCAGCACTGATTTCATTATTAAATAAATTAAAGATTCTACTCAGTACTGTTACGTAATGGGGTAATTTCTAATTGAATCTTTTATTTACCAGCTATATTAATCAAGTGTAATTTAGAAAATTTCAGTTAGATTCAGGCGATGTAACCCGATTTTGAATTAATGTACTCACACCACGTCACAATCATCTATGAAATAGTATTTTCTCAAAAGCCATCGCCCTACATTTACCAGCTACTAAATATACGCCTTTGTAAAAAATCTTACCAGAGTGCCAATGCGATGGAAATTAGAAGCATAATTGCTAATCCGAACAAAACAAAGATCATAATCTCCCTTTCTCTGTCGCTAAGTGTCACCAACGTAAATTGACCGACTGTAGCGTAATTAACAGAAAAGCACACTCCTGTGATATGATTACACGTGATGTTCACTCTTTCAGTCTCTCTGCAATCCTCACTGCAGTTGTGCTGGCAGTCTGGGCCATATGTATTGTTGGAACACGCTGGGGATATTCACAATTACGTGTAGCTCTACAGAAAGAAGGTTTCCCGAAAGACACAAAGTCATGCCCGAATTGAGACTTGCCCAAATGATGTTTGCCCGAAAGGCTGTTTGCGCGATGCTCGTTTCCCCGAATGGACATTTCCCCGAATGCGACAAATGCCCGATTGGACATTTGTCCGAATGCGACACAGGCCCGAACGCTGTTTGCTCGCAGCCCATTTCTCCTATTCAACATTTGCCCGAATGCGACAAATGACCGAATGGAAAATTAACATTTAACCATCTTGACGCAGTGTCGTTCCTTTGGAAACTAAAATAGGTCAAGATGGCCAATTTTCAACCCACTAGTTCCACATTTCTGTCTTTCATTTATCCAGTAGCCTACAGCACTAGAGTCATCTCCTAACAAAATATCCAATTGCGTCATATCTGTAAACGGTTGATCTATTCAAGAAGTTTTAAGGCCATGGTAAGTTTAGGTAACTTTAAACGCTAAACACTTTGGCAAGACATTTTATTCTCCAGTGTACTTGCTAGTATCTGATCTATTAAACAAAAGACCTATCCAATCAATCTGCTCTTATTATGTTCGCATGACTCAGCAATCAATATCACGCTTACGAAAGACTGCCTTTACTAAATGAATACGTGTTCTAATTTAGTTCTAAAGTCTGTAGCTTATAGCCTATTTGATCACACGTATAAACATTTTCAGATAATTTAGGACTACTTCGCAGTGAATAAAGGAGCTTTCGAAGCAAGCGCTGAAGTTCAATGATTTGTTATGTTCACAATAAAACAAATGAGTCTACTATATGAATAAAAACATCTTTTAAAAATTTAAACCATTTTTTAAATACGTACGTTTACTATGATATTTAATTTTTGTATTTTTTTAAACATGAGCATATTGATTTCGTAATTTGTATTTCCATTCGAGACAGATGGATAAAGGCTGCCAATAGCCTATCCCTATATATATATATATATATATATATATATATATATATATATATATATATATATATATATATATATATAAATATATATATATATCATAAGATGTGCGTGCATGGGAATTTTATAAAGATATACACTTACTGCTCTCGCAAAACTGTCCTGTATACCCATCCTTGCATCCATATAGACAGGTACCGTTGAGTTGATCGCAAATTGGCCCTACTTCATTACAATTTCTACTACACATTTTGTTACATTTTATCCCATAGAATCCCGTCTTACACCCTGTGAAGTGTGCAAAAGGTAATAACATATGTTTTTACTACCTCTCTCTCCTTCCTTATCTCTCTCAAGATATATATATATATATATAAATATATATATATATATATATATATATATATATATATATATATATATATATATATATATATATATATATATATATATATATATATATATATTGAGAGTATCATTCTACCGCAAGTGTTGGAATCAATGTTCACAAACTGTGATTGTCCTGTAAAGTTAGACATAATGTTTTCGTCAATCGCATATAATATATTCCAGAGAATGGAGTTTACAACTAGCTGTCTTGGAAAATATTTTGTTAGATAAGCCAAAATAAAAAAGGTATTGGCCTACATGCTTAATGAACTAATCAAAAAGTGCCTTTACGGGAAATTTCCAAAAATTTAAATAAAAATAAATCGTTGTGATACTGAAGAACCGCTAAACATTTCTTTCTATATAATCGAAATCAACACTGAAAATAATAAAATTTAGCTTGTATATGATTGGTGAATTGAAATACTTACACAATTACTGAAGACACTAAAATGGTTTTTACGGTTTTGCTTACTTATTTAAAAATACATTTTTAAAAGACAAACGCAAATACAAAAAAAAAAATAGCTAAATAAGAAAAGAAAAAAAAGCTCCTTATGTTTTGTTTGACCATTATTCGTTTTTTAATTTTCTACATTTTATAGAATTTATTTAAAACTCTAAAAAGAAGAACAAAAATTAAAATGTCTAAGAAATATTTCTACATTTTATAGGATCTATTTAAAACTTGAAATAAAAAAATAAAATAATAATGTCTAACAAATATTTTGAGTGAGTACCTTGATCAGACATTGATGTTTGGCATCTGTTGCAATAATTATTCGAGAAGCAAGCTTTCCCGACATCATAAGAACATACGAACAGACATCCGAAACAGCTACCTGTAATTAACATGCATTTGAACGTCGTTGACAACTGCCCTTTAATTGCTGTCTAAAAAAAACTTTCAGTTTAAACAAAAAGACAAAACGGAACATGTACGGGCAAATGTCTATTTGGGCATTTATCGCATTCGGATGAGTGTCTTTCGGTAATTTATTGTAGATCCAGTAGGACTTACTAACCTACCTTCATTACACTGGTTATAGTTTTTTTAGGCTTTATGTAGTACACAGAACAGTGAGCTACCTACATCCATTTACTTGAATATAGTTTTTAAGGCCCTAGATACAGTAGACAGTACACAGAACAGTGTGCTACCTACTTTCATAACATTTCTTCTTCTTCTTTAGTGTGGAAAGGATCCCCCTCCAACACAATTAAGTATACGTGTCCATTGGTTATGCGCATTGAGGCCATCATTGACTCCGATATCAGCCTGCTTTTCTTTTTGGATTTGCTTCCATAGCATTTGTTCAACCAAGAACAAACTACAGCAGTTGTTTGATTTTGGAGTTGTCTATCATAGAAGAGTGGCTGTCCCCAGCTAACGAGCCTCATCTGCCCAAGGGTTCGAACTCGAGACTTTTCGGTTTGGCAACCTTGAACTTTACCGACTCGACCACGCCGACCTACATGGGATATGGTTTTTTAAGCCCTAGATAGTACACAGAGACGCGAGTTACCGACCTTCATTACATCGGATATCGTTTTTTGGCTGTGGTGACGATGTGTATCTACAGTCGGTTATTAATACAACTGGACGTAGCATTGTTTTCTATTTAGTTAGTAGGTTTACGTCAAGGTCTCACCCCCCCCCCCCCTGCACAAATAGTGTCACCCGGTCCGGTCCGCACCCCCCTCCAGCCCCCGCCTCGCAACGCCCCTGATTTTTGAGCTATATATATAATAGAAAGTACACAGAACAGCGAGCTACCTACCTTCATTAAATCAAATATAGATTTTTGGGCCCTATATATAGTAGATAGTACACAGAACGGCGAGCTACCTACCTTCATTACATCGGATATAGATTTTTGGGCCCTATATATAGTAGATAGTACACAGAACAGCGAGCTACTTACCTTCATTACATCGGATATAGATTTTTGTGCCCTATATATAGTAGATAGTACACAGAACAGCGAGCTACCTACCTTCATTACATCGGATATAGATTTTTGGCCCTATATATTGTAGATAGTACACAGAACAGCGAGCTACCTACCTTCATTACATCGGATATAGATTTTTGGCCCTATATATTGTAGATAGTACACAGAACAGCGAGCTACCTACCTTCATTACATCGGATATAGATTTTTGGGCCCTATATATAGTAGATAGTACACAGAACAGCGAGCTACCTATCTTCATTACATCGGATATAGATTTTTGGGCCCTATATATAGTAGATAGTACACAGAACAGCGAGCTACCTATCTTCATTACATCGGATATAGATTTTTGTGCCCTATATATAGTAGATAGTACACAGAACAGCGAGCTACCTACCTTCATTACATCGGATATAGATTTTTGGGCCCTATATATAGTAGATAGTACACAGAACAGCGAGCTACCTACCTTCATTACATCGGATATAGATTTTTGTGCCCTATATATTGTAGATAGTACACAGAACAGCGAGCTACTTACCTTCATTACATGGGACATAGTTTTTAGGGCACCTGACCGTACAAGGCCCGGGGTTGGTGAAGCATTCAGTGTTGCTGCTGTTACATGGACAAGCTATCTCACAATCTAACCCGAATTTACTCGTTTCACAAAAGTTCTCTTTAACGAAAAAACACATGGCAATAGCAATGATTATTGATGCATTAATTAACACTTCCACATAGTATCTTTTTTTTCCCGTCATAAATTAGGCTTCCAAAATTCTGCCTCATCTGTTTGCGACTATTCTACTCGTATTAAGTTTCAAAACAATGTAATGTGACTTTTATATTATGTTGTCAGCAGCTAAATGTCTAGGCAATAGGAATTTAGAGTAAGCATTAATAAAAATATGTAAAAGTGGGTGTCAGTTAATATGTCCAAGAAATTTTAAATAATTTCATTCACATTTTGAGCGAAACGGTGTTAATGTTTTTACCATCTAATAACATAGGCCTACGTACCTAGATAGTGCATATTCTTACAGAAATAAAAGATTTTGTATCTCTCCACCCACACGTCAACCTCCCACCCAGCCCTCAGGAAACTGGATGTGAACGTGTACAAACTACTGAATGGGATGGAGTAGGTCAGCCGACTTGAAGGGCCTCCTCTTTCGTCCAGTCTTGACATTTGAAATCGTATTACGTCTTTCAAATTGTCTGGTGGAATCGTAAGACGAATTTAGTGATGAAGCTTACATAACAATTCCAGCAGAGTTTCTACCAGGCATCTCTTCGGTGGGGCGAAGCCCCCCCCCCCCCCCCCCCCGAAATTTTTTTTAACGCCCCCCCCCCCCCCCCCCCCGAACGAAATGAAATTTATATAATTTATATAGAAAATATATACTTTTAACAGTGTCCGCCCCCCCCCCCCCCGGAGAAAAAAGTCTGGAAGAAACACTGAATTCCAGTAAAACAAAGAATTTGACTACTCGTTTAATCTTATTCCGTGTATTTGGTTTGTTTGTTTTAATTTTTGTGTTGTTTTTTTCTTCATCCCCTATATTTTAAAAACTCTCTGCCCTTATCGTTGGGGCCTCATTGAGTACTTACTTTAACTCGAGTAGCCTACTACATTATTTGTAATATTATTTGCTATTTTATCTTGGGACTTAACTATCAACCAAAAATTAGCAGATTTTTCCAAAATTATTATATTTTAAAGATCTAAAAAATAATATGATTGAGTCTGGCAAATACAAAGATGACAATACATATTGATAGGTGAGATCACCGTCGTAGTTTGTTATTCACATTTTCAACTGGGTTCAAATAGAGACCATTAAGAATTAGTTCGTAATTGTTTTAAATGGTTAGCATGTCAGTAAGGTTTGGGCTAAGACGATTGAGTTATGGGGTGTGGCCTCAGGCTTGTGAACTGAGGAAGTGGAGCCTAATGCCTGTGACCTAGGGAAGTGGAGCCTGACTGTGACCTAGGGATGTGGAGCCTAATGCCTGTGACCTAGGGATGTGGAGCCTAATGCCTGTGACCTAGGGAAGTGGAGCCTAATGCCTGTGACCTAGGGAAGTGGAGCCTGACTGTGACCTAGGGAAGTGGAGCTTGCCTTTGACCTAGGGATGTGGAGCCTAATGCCTGTGACCTAGGGAAGTGGAGCCTAATGCCTGTGATCTAGGGAAGTGGAGCCTAATGCCTGTGACCTAGGGAAGTGGAGCCTAATGCCTGTGATCTAGGGAAGTGGAGCCTAATGCCTGTGACCTAGGGAAGTGGAGCCTAATGCCTGTGACCTAGGGATGTGGAGCCTAATGCCTGTGACCTAGGGAAGTGGAGCCTAATGCCTGTGACCTAGGGAAGTGGAGCTTGCCTGTGACCTAGGGAAGCGGAGCCTAATGCCTGTGACCTAGGGAAGATGAGCCTAATGCCTGTGACCTAGGGAAGTGGAGCTTGCCTGTGACCTAGGGATGTGGAGCCTAATGCCTGTGACCTAGGGAAGTGGAGCTTGCCTGTGACCTAGGGATGTGGAGCCTAATGCCTGTGACCTAGGGATGTGGAGCCTAATGCCTGTGACCTAGGGATGTGGAGCCTAATGCCTGTGACCTAGGGATGTGGAGCCTAATGCCTGTGACCTAGGGAAGTGGAGCCTAATGCTCTTGACCTAGGGATGTGGAGCCTAATGCCTGTGACATAATGAAGTGGAGCTTGCCTGTGACCTAGGGATGTGGAGCCTAATGCCTGTGACCTAGGGAAGTGGAGCCTAATGCCTGTGACCTAGGGATGTGGAGCCTAATGCCTGTGACCTAATGAAGTGGAGCTTGCCTGTGACCTAGGGATGTGTAGCCTAATGCCTGTGACCTAGGGATGTGGAGCCTAATGCCTGTGACCTAGGGAAGTGGAGCCTAATGCCTGTGACCTAGGGATGTGGAGCCTAATGCCTGTGACCTAATGAAGTGGAGCTTGCCTGTGACCTAGGGATGTGGAGCCTAATGCCTGTGGCCTAGGGAAGTGGAGCCTAATGCCTGTGACCTAGGGATGTGGAGCCTAATGCCTGTGACCTAGGGAAGTGGAGCCTAATGCCTGTGACCTAGGGATGTGGAGCCTAATGCCTGTGACCTAATGAAGTGGAGCTTGCCTGTGACCTAGGGATGTGGAGCCTAATGCCTGTGACCTAGGGAGGCGGGGGATAATTTGTGTAACCTATGGAGGTTAGGCCTAATTCGTGTGACTTGTAGAGTTGCGGCCTGATATTCTTGATCTAGAGAGGTGTGGCCTAATGCCTGTAATCAATGGAGGGAAAGTTTTGGAAATTCAAATAGGAAAAAAAATGAACATTTAGTATCGTCTATGGTAGAGACGTAGGGTGCAATTAGTGTCGGCAGTCGGTGACATCATTTGTAGAACTGAAAGACTCTATAAATTACTTTCAAGACAATGGTTTCTACTGTTAAAATGTCAAAATATCGAGGGAAATGAGTGACATTAAATGGAACATGCTAGATTGTAGGAGGGAGTGCGGTGATACCATCAGTTACCGCAGCGGGTGACACCATCAATTTTAGTAACGAGTGACACCATTTATTACCGTCGAGGTGGACACCGTGAACAGTATCAACAGTACCAACACTACCATCCCAATGAAAGCTGCTCACCTTGATGCTGGTAGATGAGATGGCTGAAGAGATAACTCTGGTTGGTCAGCTGGTAGGTCCCGGACATAGAGAACCAACACTGGGAGCTGGGGTCAGCGAGATGGGAAGGGTTGGGAAACTGCACGATATGCTGCATCACTGCAATGTTCTGCGCTACAGGCACAGTAGGTAAAGTAACGTTTCTCATTGGGTTAACACCATGTGAATAACATATTTTTATGAGTATGATCGAATTTTCTTACCATAATCATGCTTGCCATTATCAGGGCTTTAAAGCAAATAAATTACATGTAATTATTGCGACTATCAGATAAATAAAAGCAGTTTTTAATGATTATCAGTGATTTATACAAAATAACTTTCAATAATGTATGCAAGATGACATACAACACTTTTAGCATTTTATTGTTAAATGAACAATATTCTAAATTTTTAAATGGCTATATGTCGTAAGGTCAATTTTAAAAATAATTTTTACATATTTTGTTAGTAATTAAATTAATTCGTTTTTCAGCAATATGTTTTTGTTAATAAAAAAACAAATTACGTCTTAAACATAAAATAACGTATTAAATAAAATCTGACCTCCAGCGATGTATATTTTACAAAGTGTAGCGTTGTTTTTATCCCGTAAATTGATGGTAGTGTTGATGGCAGTATAGGGGCTGGTGCACATAAAATTAAAGTCCCTGGCCGCTACACTCAAGTCTGGCAGGTCCTGGCATATACTTGTTGTGTCCTTACCGGTAAAGGCTATGTACAAGTTTTCTTGTTCCGCATCTGGGGTAGGAGGGGGGGGGGGGAACAAAAAAACTAAAACTAAACCAAAATCAATTTGAAACAACTGATTAGAGTAATTAATAAGTATTTGTCCATACAATACGCAGTTAATAAGTTCTTTAACATTTAAACTCTCTCTCCATCTCTCTTTCTTTCTTTCTCTCTCTCTCTCTCTCTGGTGATGTGATGTGTACGAAAGTTCTTTTACATTTAAACTCTCTCCATCTCTCTTTCTTTCTTTCTCTCTCTCTCTCTCTCTCTCTCTCTCTCTCTCTCTCTCTCTCTGGTGATGTGATATGTACGAAAGGTGTGTAAGTGGGACGGATCTCAGCGTGTGTGGGTATATATATACGATAGTATTTCGCGAGGCTGGGTTAGTTGACGTGTATGTTGTACGGAGCATACGAGGGTAACAAGGGAAGCGACTGGTCGAGCGACAGCGGGCATGTTGACGTGTATGTTGTTGTAGGAGTTAATTGGGGTAACTAGCGGAGGTGTGGCTTCAGCTGTTGACCTTGGCCCCATTGTCCCCCAATCAAGCTTTAAAACTTACCTTTACTAATCGGGAATTTCACCCAAGTGTTCGTTAATTTATTCACAGCTAGTGTGACAAAGCCTCTGGAACATTCTAGAAGATCTGAGGGCTCTGGGTAGTCTACGTGGGCCCTTGGGTAAATATCCGCCGCTAAAAATTATTATTCAAACTACAGTTATGTATGCAAATTGTTGTCATGAGAACTTATAATATAAAATTTATAGTTTTTATAATAATCTTGTTACGATGACAATTTGAGAATATATAAAACTTATCTCTTCTTAACATCTCTAAAGAACATGTTATTTTTTTTAAATAAAAAAGTGTAAGACTTATAAGCAAGATAAAAATGGAAATATTTTTTTTACCGAACTGACAAGCATGACCAAAGCGTTTGGGGGCGCACCCTGCTTCACAACGCCCCATGGGGTCACAGTCGCCGTTCCCTCTACACTGGCACTTGTGCTGGCATTTTTGCCCGAACAAGCCTGGGGGGCAGTCTGTTAGGACACAGACATCACAGTATGAGCTTGTGTATTGTTAGGGTTTATAGACATCACAGTATGAGCATGTGTATTGTTAGGGTTTATAGACATCACAGTATCAGCTTGTGTATTGTTAGGGTTTACATATATCACAGTATGAGCATGTGTATTGTTAGGGTTTACAGACATCAGGGGTATGAGCTTGTGTATTGTTAGGGTTTACAGACATCAGGGTATGAGCTTGTGTATTGTGTTGGTTTGTGTTGGTGCTAAACTTTCTGAACCGTCAACTTAAGTGTAAAAACTATAAACCCATCAACTAACTGCTACTACTCTGTCAAGACACAGACATCAGGTTTTTGTATTGTTACTATTGAGTTCACAAATTATCTTATCAATAGGCCCAATACAAATACTATTATGTTTGGATTGCTGTGTCAATAAGCTAAATAGCTTAAAAAACTGTGCAATATATGACTAAAACAAAGTTCGTTCTCAGGAGCAAAAGTAAGTAAAACAATTTACAGCAGTGCATGCCATAACGAGGAATATTTTTCACTCACCTGTAGAATGTGACAGTACACACCACATCAAGATGACGACAACCTTAACAAAGCCTGATGACATTCTGTGTTCCATGTTCTCAGTATTAAACCGTCGTTCTTACGTGCATTTAATTGAAAAATGTCTCTAAACAAAATTTTGAATTATATAAACCAATTTTTGTATCGCTATTACTCTATAATCATTTTTATAATTTACAGATCGTTTTTGTTTAGAATTCAATTTTTAAAACGCAATATTTTGATAAATAGTGTGAGAAGTATTTTTCTTATTTTATTATTTTATTTCTTTGTAAAATTTGGATATTTCATTGCTGAATATAATAATATTTTATCACATTATTTCCGATTTTATCCATTCTAGATTATAGTTAAACTAAGAGTTTAGAGTAGAAACTAGACATCTGTATACCAATATGTTAATTAATTACTAAATACAGATCTAGATCTAAAACTAGTAGATCCTTATTCATGATCGATTATCAATTAACACTAACATTCATGCACTAACAATTCTATTCGCTAAAATATGTGTTCAATACTGAAATCAACAAGTTAATAACAACAAAAACAAAATAGACTAACGTGCATCAAAATGAATGAGACTTCAGTAGCAATATGCCTTGAAAGTAAGGAAGTCGTAATGTAAATTCTTGTTTTTGATCGGTCCATGTTTTTAACTTCATAACGTCATACAAGTGATGCTATTTGATTTTGAGGCTATTTTGTTATTATGAATAAAAACTATTTGATTAGTGTTCAACATTGCATTTACAATGACATTGATTATATTCGACGAAACACATTAAAATAACTAATATTTCTATTATTACTCTGAACAAGGTCGAAGTAAATATATAGTTTTCTATCGAACTCTTCAAATAAAGCTCAGATTATGATCTAACTGTAGCTTCGTTACATTAAAACTAAACTGGATTTAACAAAAAATAAAGGGATAACTGTTGCGTCCCTTACATTTAGCGTCCCCTGATTGTGTGTGTTGTGTGCTCGAACGACATGTACCCTCCGTTTGTATATAGTTGTAGCCCTTGGTTGAGGGTGTTTACGTAAAGCGAGAGGTGTTCACGTGAGGGTTGTCAGTTGACGGGTGACAGAGCGTGTGCTAGGGTGTGTGGCAGTTGGTTGGCGTGTTGTTTTAGAGGAAGACGTGGACGAGAGTGCTATGCATTGCATATCGTAATGTGTTATCACGTCTGTTGTATCGTGCGCCATACGCTGTATTGTCCAGCATATGCCTAGACAGAAGAGCCCAACAATAAATAATACATTTACTTCTGGTTTCACTAAAAGCCAAGTATAACTGTAACCATATAAACCATATACCTACACATATTTTACGATTGCGACCAATTTAGCAAATTTTTTTTTAATATTACGATATATAAAAAAAAAACAAATTTATAAATAACCGATCCTTTGATTTACACTGGAAAAACGTTCCTTCCGTTTAATATAAGCTTGAAAAAAAATCACGGTATAAAAGACACTTTTTGTGTCAAACCATTGACAAAGGCATTCGTCAACCTTTTAGTAGAGATCGAAAATAATTTTTGTAGCACTTTATATCTGCTGTTTTTCCCCACCTTTGTGTTTCTACCACATTGGCTGTGATTCGAGGGCTACCTGTATCCCGTTTGTACATGTTGTAAATGTGCACCTAGCCGTGCAGACTTGTGATATTGGGATTCTTACGTTTTTTTCGCAACAGAAGAAATAGTTTGGGTCACTATAAATATAAACTGTGTAAAACTATTAATTAAAAGATGTGTTAGTATCTTTTAAATATCAGAACGATTTTTTTAAAGACTTTCAAGACGCTAGATATATGTTTAGAAAATAGATGGAAATTATTTAATCTAAAGATCGAAACCGGTGTAAATTTACACAAGTTACTTTACCTTTAATGCTGCGTTCCGAGTTATCAAGATGCAGGCAAAGCGAGATAACCTAATTAATCAAATTTTGATTTTTTTAAAAAAGTGAGTTGTTTCCCTTCAATAATATAAGATAAGTACGCGTAGAACAAACTCAAATTTTGACTTTTTGTTGCCGTTCTTTTTGTTTTTGCTTCCACTTTTATTATAAAGGTAATGGCGGGTTAAAAAATAATTAAGGTTACAATATTGACTGTGAAAAATATCTCATATAAAATATAAAGTAATGAATATTTACATCATGCTAGATGACACCGTGTTGCATAATGAATTAGCTTCTATCGGCGACGTTGATATATCATTTTTGGTTAGATTAAATTTTGGTTATGTTTTTTCTTATTATGTTCTATTCTGTTTTAATACACTTTTTTACAACCCAACTTACTTCTTTTTTACATCCGACTGGGTCGAAACTAGAGAACGAAGTCTGTACAACACGACCGAACTTGACACATAGACCAAGAAATTGATGACAAAGCTTTGTGACATAAACCTTGACACAATAAAGAAGTTTTTTTTTCTTTTAAATATCGCTATAACGCACTAGAGGATCTAAACTTTTTGCGATTTTGTACACACTGTCCGTGCTTTCTGCTCGTGCGCATGTGATTTTGTCAAGTTATTTTTATTGTCTTTTAATAGTAGTCTATACACATCTAAAAAATGAAATTTTAAAAACATTTTATATATTTTGTTTACGAACACAATAATCATATTTTTGTAAGTATAATAAAGCCTCTACTATTTAAAAACTCTATAGAAGTGTGAGAAGCTAAATTAATTTTTTGAAATAGATAACTTGGTGTTACAAACGATTCTTCTTCGTTGTTAATTTTAGTTGGAAAGGATCCCCAACCAACACAATAGCGGATACGTGTCAACTGGTTATGCGCCATTGAGGCCATTGACTCCGATTTCAACCTGCTTTTCTTTATTTACAAGGCAGCAGATGTTGGATTTTGGAGTTGTCTCTCATAGCAGAATGGCTGTCCCCAGCTAATCTGCCCGAGGGTACGAACTCGAGACTTTTCGGTTTGACAAACTTGAGCTTTACCGACTCGACCACGCCGACGCCCGACAAACAATTAAATACATGCGATTTACCGACGAATATAGAATACTAATATATAACTAAATCGGTACTCAAAAGCGACTGAACAACTGTACTACATTTTAAGATCTATGCACGCATTGAGAAAAAAATAATACACCGTAACAAAGAAATAGTATATGGTAGTATAGATATACGCCCTAATATTTATTGTGAAAAACCCTAATATTCGTTATAACAAACCATAATATTTATTGTCACAAACCCTTATATTCACTGTGACAAACCCTTATATTCACTGTGACAAACTTATATTAACTGTGACAAACCCTTATATTTACTGTGACAAACCCTTACATTAACTGTGACAAACTTATATTCACTGTGACAAACTTATATTAACTGTGACAAACTTATATTAACTGTGACAAACCCTTACATTAACTGTGACAAACTTATATTCACTGTGACAAACTTATATTAACTGTGACAAACTTATATTAACTGTGACAAACCCTTACATTAACTGTGACAAACCCTTATATTTACTGTGACAAACCCTTACATTAACTGTGACAAACTTATATTCACTGTGACAAACTTATATTAACTGTGACAAACTTATATTAACTGTGACAAACCCTTACATTAACTGTGACAAACCCTTATATTTACTGTGACAAACCCTTATATTCACTGTGACAAACTTATATTCACTGTGACAAACTTATATTAACTGTGACAAACTTATATTAACTGTGACAAACCCTTACATTAACTGTGACAAACCCTTATATTAACTGTGACAAACTTATGTTCACTGTGACAAACCCTTACATTCACTGTAACAAACTTATATTCACTGTGACAAACCCTTATATTAAATGTTACAAACCCTTACATTAACTGTGACAAACACTTACATTAACTGTGACAAACCCTTATATTAATTGTGACAAACCCTTATATTCATTGTGACAAACTTATATTCTCTGCGACAAACCCTTACATTAACTGTGACAAACACTTACATTAACTGTGACAAACCCTTACATTAACTGTGACAAACCCTTATATTCACTACGACACACGTACTTGTATAGCTGTGAGCCAGTTGCCAAGATAGTAATGTACTTCCGTGTTGCGTTGTGTTGTTTGTGTGTTTAATTTTTTTTTCATACCTGAATACGACTTACGGATAGGCAGCTGTAAAACGTATTTGGTAAGTAATGAAAGAAATATCTGCATGAGTTAATGTTTTTTTTTATTAATTGATTGAATGGGGAAAAACCTTTAGGGCATACGATTTCAACATTTTGTCAAAAGAGTGAATATAATCTAGCAGTATAGAATTTGTTTTGAATGGTACAGTTTTTATGGTCTCACTTATACATTTGTAAATGCGAGAATTTATATATATATATATATATATATATATATATATATATATATATATATATATATATATATATATATATATATATATATATGTATGTATGTATATATATATATATATATATATATATATATATATATATATATATATATATATATATATATATATATATATATATATATATATATATATGCATATGTATCTTTTATTTTATAGATGTATGTATAGGAATGTTGTAAGGTTCAACTAGACACGTTATCAACATGATTTTCTGTGTTCTAACACTTGGTGTTTTACGTTTAACTTTGATAGAAGCAGGTAATCTATTTACATTAATTAACTTAATTAATTTATATAGAACAAACAACTGTTAACATTAATTGACAAGTTTTTGATCAATTAATAAATCTCTCATAGTGTAGCTAGTTAGCGTTGTTAGGTACATGCTTCACATGAACACAGAGAGGCTATTGACAGTCATAAGTAACGTTGTCACATGTTTCAGTGTGTGACTACGGTTGGTTCGGGCCTAACTGTGAGTACATGTGCCGCTGTGAGAGGAAGATGTGTGATGGTGGTGGAGTGTGTAGAGATGGAGCACGGTGTCAGAAGGGCTGGTTCGGACCGTCTTGTCAGTACTGTGAGTAGAAAGCATTCACTTTAACATGTGTGTTGGTTAGATATATCAGAGTGAGTAGATAGCATTCATTTTAACATGTGTGTTGGTCGGAAATATTAGAGTGAACAGATAATATTTAACCTGAATATTTGTCGTGTATATCAGGGTGAGTAGATTACATTCACTTTAATATAGATGTTTGTCGAATATATCAGGGTGAGTAGATAAATTTACCTTTAAAATTGTTGTTGGTCAGATATATTGTTCCAAAAACAGAACCGATATAGCTTTTTCAGTAGTAACTCAATAATATATTGCAAAACACAGGTAATTGTTACCTCTTAAATATTTGCTACAATTAATTTTATATTCTACACTATTATATTGACAAAAATATTTTAATTATTGATAGCATTAACATTGAGTACTAATGATTAAAGGTTGATTGAAACAAACGGTTACACGCAATTTAAAATCCATACGTCATACGAAAGTAAATCGAAGTTTTATCTACCGATTGTAAAACATCTTGCTGAAATTTGTAATTAATTAAAAATGGTTTTATGTCCAGAAATTTGTGCCTTAGTTTTTAGAGGGTTTTATGTGCAGAATGTTGTTCTAAATAAAGTGTTTGATGTCTTATAATTATGCTCTCGTTGTTTGTGTATTTCAATGCCTTGGGTTCAAAGGGTTTTATGCAGGGTTTCTTCCAGACTTTTTTCTCCGGGGGACACTTGAAATTTTCGGGGGGGGGGGGGGGGGGGGCGGTAGACTTTCTTCGTAGGGGGGGGGGGGGGGGCGGACACTGTTAAAAGTATATATTTTCTATATAAATATCATTTCGTTCGGGGGGGGGTGCAAGAGATGCCTAGAAGAAACTCTGGTTTTATGTGCTAAATTTTGTTTTGAATAAAGGTTTTGATGTCTTATAATGATGCCCTCCTTCTTTGTGTATTTATATACCTGTGATTTATATATCTGTAATTTACATGAGTTAGCTTACACTATTTAAATTTCAGGGAATTTGATAAACATGAATATTACTGGCATTGAACCTACCACAGAAGCAACAGACGAACAAGAGGACACATGTACGTTTGTACAAAATCTAAAAATATCTTGGAAATCTGCAAGGTTTGAGATATCATGGATCAGGTTGATTGTTCGGGATAAAGGTACTGCAACAATCACTCTGTTATCTTGTACTTATCTTTAGATCGATACACTTTGTAATGCAAACTTTCACTAGATCGTACTAATATTGAATTTATGTAAAAAAAAGCAATAGCTTAAATTGAAATGTAACCGATTTGGTTATTTATTTTAAAAACAATTTCAGCATTATTAAAAGAGGACAATACTTTGTAAAATTTATTTCATGCCGTGAAGAAGGTTTGGTTTGTTTCATATTTAACCAAGTGTACCACATCACTTCTTATGTTGTTGTCAGTAAACACCACCGAGCCTGAAGTGCGACTCAACGGGTCAGCCACTAAGTGTCCAGACCAGACCGTCTCCCACTATGACAGGAAGACAATAGACGTGTACTGTAACGCTAGTTCGCTCGTCCACACCATTCACATCTATGTGCCTGGACTCAACGTCTGCAGTGTCTACATCAGCGGCGGTAATTTTGTTTACCAGTTACGTCAGAGAGGGGTTATTTTTTTTAACAGTTACGCCAAGGGTGGTAATTTGTTAACCACTTTCTTCGGGGGAAGGGGAGTAAGTAAATTGTTTACTTGAGTGGGTAATTTTTTTGTACCATTTACGTCAAGGGGGTGTAATTTATTTACCGCTTAAGTCGATTAGGGTTATTTTGTTTACCACTTATGTCAGAGGGGGGGGGGGTTAATTTGTTTATCACCTACCTCACTGGGGTAAATTGTTTACCACCTACCTCACTGGGGTAAATTGTTTACCACCTACCTCACTGGGGTAAATTGTTTACCACCTACCTCACTGGGGTAAATTGTTTACCACCTACCTCACTGGGGTAAATTGTTTACCACCTACCTCACTGGGGTAAATTGTTTACCACCTACCTCGGTGGGGTAAATTGTTTACCACCTACCTCACTGAAGTAAATTTTTTACCACCTACCTCACTGGGGTAATTCGAGACGGAAGATGTCTCACTAGACCTGTGTCCTGAACTTGAATACGTCCATCCGGAAATTAGGTTAAGTGGTCCACTTATTTTACATAAAAAATAGAGCAAACATATTGTAATGTATCTGATACAAGTGGCTCTTTTTATCTTTAACTGATGGGGTTTTTCGTTAGGGTTATACAGTCCAAACCGTAGATAACCGATTTAATATTGAACATTCAGAGGCTTAGCGACCTAATCCGGCGTCCGGGGCTGACTATCAATTTTGCGCCCCCCCCGCCTTATTTCTATAAATAGTTATTTCTGTCTGTGAAAAAGACCCCCCCCCCGCCCACCCAGTCGGAAAGATTTGTAGCGCTTCTTACCAGTTACTATCCCGTAACATTTTATATTTCGGTGCCACAAAGTGTTAAATCATTGTGTAAAGCCTTGTAGTCGTTTATTTTGACTGTGGCTAATTCAATAATGCAGCTTAAAATGAGCTTTCAAATTAATTTTTCTACCTTTTTTGGCGCCCACTTAAGGTCGGCGCCAGGTGCGGCCGCCCCACCCGCCCTCCCCAAGCTACGCCTCTGTGAGCATTTTATGCCATATTGGCTCAGCGGCAACACTAATGAACAGTTAGTCATTAATTGAAACTGTTTTGTCCTTTCACACAAATTTAAACCAAAGAACTATTGTTTTATAACTCCATCGTTATTTATCTTTACATGTATCCTTGTTAGGTCGCAATGTGGCGCTCAGGCAAGCCACGAATGAGTCTAGTCGACCCTTCAATTCAAAACTGGCAGTTGACGGCAACAGGAACGGTAACTACAACAGTGGATCCTGCACACATTCGGACTCGGATCATAAGAACCCTACATGGGAGGTCAGATTAACCTCCCCTCAGTCAATCAACAGATTCGTTCTGTACAACAGAAAGGGTAAGTATAGAAACATCAGCAGCTGATGAGTTACGGGAATAACAGTCGTAATTCGAGTTATCAAACTTTGAATGTTATGTTTCTTATCGTTACACCAACATGGTTACCGACGATTTATTAAAATTCATAGCGTAACCACTACACTTTTGTTAGTTACTTTCGAAATAAAAATATAAATGTATACATTTTTTAAGAGAAAATTGTATTAGAGGTCATCCGTAAATGACGTCACGCTTTTTTTGACGATTTTTACCTCCCCCCTCCCCTCCGTCACACGTCGTCACAAAAAGCCAGACGTCACACACACCTCAACCTACAACCTCCCCCCCCCTAAAATTGCAGTTGAATTTTTTTTAAACATCGATATTTTTCTAAAATCTTGTCTAAACTATTAGGCCCCTACAATTTATTAAAACAGTTATCTAAAACGCGAAATAACGTCTAAAATTCGTTTTCTAACATTGCTTTTTATAATTCAAAAGTGTGACGTCGCAACATCTGACCACCACCCCCCCTCATCACACATCGTCACAAAATTACGGACCCCCCTCCTTCTACGAGTGTGACGTCATTTATGGATGACCCCTTATTTATAACATAACAATTGTATTTTCTAGCATATTATTCCATTGATTACATTCGTGTCAGATTGTTGTGGTGAACGACTGAGTACATTTAAACTATCAGCACACTGGGACAATAACACGACCGTGTACTCACACACAAATGACAACAGGACCAGAAACGTGTACTATATGACACGAGTTTCAACATGGCCGCCCGTTTCATTTGTTAGGGTCACTGTGCCTGAGATACTAACCCTTTGTGAGGTAGAGCTATACGGAGGTAGGCAACGTTTCTTTTGGTGGTTTGGTTTCATTGAATTAAAATAAAACAATTAACAAATAGATTTTGTCTTAGTATAAAGAAAAAAAAAATAACAAGACAAGTTAAATTAAGTGTCGAATTTTCACAATAATTTGTATAGTCGTGTAAAAGAAGGATACATAGATTTATTTGAAACCGATAAAGTGAAGTGTTTTGCTATTCCCTAAACCTGTGTTGATGTCCTCTAACCCTGTGTTGATGTCCTATAACCCTGTATTGATGTCCTCTAACCATGTGATGATGTCCTCTAACCCTGTGTTGATGTCCTCTCACCCTGTGTTGATGTCCTGTAACAATGATGTCCTCTAACCCTGTGTCAATGTCCTCTAAACCTGCGTTGATGTCATATAACCCTGTGTCAATGTCCTCTAAACCTGCGTTGATGTCATATAAACCTGTGTTGATGTCCTCTAGCCCTGTATTGATGTCCTCTAAACCTGTGTTGATGTCCTCTAACCCTGTGTCAATGTCCTCTAGCCCTGTGTTGATGTCCTCTAAACCTGCGTTGATCTCATATAAACCTTTGTTGATGTCCTCTAAACCTGTATTGATGTCCTCTAAACCTGTGTTGATGTCCTCTAACCCTGTGTTGATGTCCTCTAGCCCTGTATTGATGTCCTCTAAACCTGTGTTGATGTCCTCTAACCCTGTGATGATGTCCTCTAACCATGTGTTGATGTCCTCTAACCATGTGTCTATGTCCTCTAACCATGTGTTGATGTCCTCTAAACCTGTGTTGATGTCCTCTAACCCTGTGTTGATGTCCTGTAACCATGTGTTGATGTCCTCTAACCATGTGTTGATGTCCTCTAAACCTGTGTTGATGTCCTCTAACCCTGTATTAATGTCCTGTAACAATGATGTCCTCTAACCCTGTGTTGATGTCCTCTAACCCTGTGATGATGTCCTCTAACCCTGTGTTGATGTCCTTTAACCCTGTGTTGATGTCCTCTAACCCTGTGATGATGTCCTCTAACCATGTGTTGATGTCCTCTAAACCTGTGTTGATGTCCTCTAACCCTGTATTGATGTCATGTAACAATGATGTCCTCTAACCCTGTGTTGATGTCCTCTAACCCTGTATTGATGTCCTCTAACCCTGTATTGATGTCCTCTAAACCTGTGCTGATGTCCTCTAACCCTGTGTCAATGTCCTCTAAACCTGCGTTGATCTCATATAAACCTGTGTTGATGTCCTCTAACCCTGTATTGATGTCCTCTAACCCTGTGTTGATGTCCTCTAAACCTGTGTTGATGTCCTCTAACCCTGTGTTGATGTCCTCTAACCCTGTGTTGATGTCCTCTAACCCTGTGTTGATGTCCTCTAACCATGTGTTGATGTCCTCTAACCCTGTATTGATGTCCTCTAACCCTGTGTTGATGTCCTCTAACCCTGTGTTGATGTCCTCTAACCCTGTGTTGATGTCCTCTAACCCTGTGTTGATGTCCTCTAACAATGATGTCCTCTAACCCTGTGTTGATGTCCTCTATCCCTGTGTTGATGTCCTCTAACCCTGTGTTGATGTCCTCTAACCCTGTGTTGATGTCCTCTAACCCTGTGTTGATGTCCTCTAACCCTGTGTTGATGTCCTCTAACTCAGTGTTGATGTCCTCTAACCCTGTGTTGATGTCCTCTATCCCTGTGTTGATATCCTCTAACAATGATGTCCTCTAACCCTGTGTTGATGTCCTCTAACAATGATGTCCTCTAACCCTGTATTGATGTCCTCTAACAATGATGTCCTCTATCCCTGTGTTGATATCCTCTAACAATGATGTCCTCTAACCCTGTGTTGATGTCCTCTAACAATGATGTCCTCTAACCCTGTGTTGATGTCCTCTAACCCTGTGTTGATGTCCTCTAACAATGATGTCCTCTAACCCTGTGTTGATGTCCTCTAACAATGATGTCCTCTAACCCTGTGTTGATGTCCTCTAACCCTGTGTTGATGTCCTCTAACCCTGTGATGATGTCCTCTAACCCTGTGTTGATGTCCTCTAACCCTGTGTTGATGTCCTCTAACCCTGTGTTGATGTCCTCTAACCCTGTGTTGATGTCCTCTAACCCTGTGTTGATGTCCTCTAACACTGTGTTGATGTCCTCTAAACCTGTGTTGATGTCCTCTAACCCTGTGTTGATGTCCTGTAACCATGTGTTGATGTCCTCTAACCATGTGTTGATGTCCTCTAAACCTGTGTTGATGTCCTCTAACCCTGTATTAATGTCCTGTAACAATGATGTCCTCTAACCCTGTGTTGATGTCCTCTAACCCTGTGATGATGTCCTCTAACCCTGTGTTGATGTCCTTTAACCCTGTGTTGATGTCCTCTAACCCAGTGATGATGTCCTCTAACCATGTGTTGATGTCCTCTAACCATGTGTTGATGTCCTCTAAACCTGTGTTGATGTCCTCTAACCCTGTATTGATGTCATGTAACAATGATGTCCTCTAACCCTGTGTTGATGTCCTCTAACCCTGTATTGATGTCCTCTAACCCTGTATTGATGTCCTCTAAACCTGTGTTGATGTCCTCTAACCCTGTGTTGATGTCCTCTAACCCTGTATTGATGTCCTCTAACCCTGTGTTGATGTCCTCTAAACCTGTGTTGATGTCCTCTAACCCTGTGTTGATGTCCTCTAACCCTGTGTTGATGTCCTCTAACCCTGTGTTGATGTCCTCTAACCATGTGTTGATGTCCTCTAACCCTGTATTGATGTCCTCTAACCCTGTGTTGATGTCCTCTAACCCTGTGTTGATGTCCTCTAACCCTGTGTTGATGTCCTCTATCCCTGTGTTGATATCCTCTAACAATGATGTCCTCTAACCCTGTGTTGATGTCCTCTATCCCTGTGTTGATGTCCTCTAACCCTGTGTTGATGTCCTCTAACCCTGTGTTGATGTCCTCTAACCCTGTGTTGATGTCCTCTAACCCTGTGTTGATGTCCTCTAACTCAGTGTTGATGTCCTCTAACCCTGTGTTGATGTCCTCTATCCCTGTGTTGATGTCCTCTAACCCTGTGTTAATGTCCTGTAACAATGATGTCCTCTAACCCTGTGTTGATGTCCTCTAACAATGATGTCCTCTAACCCTGTATTGATGTCCTCTAACAATGATGTCCTCTATCCCTGTGTTGATATCCTCTAACAATGATGTCCTCTAACCCTGTGTTGATGTCCTCTAACAATGATGTCCTCTAACCCTGTGTTGATGTCCTCTAACCCTGTGTTGATGTCCTCTAACAATGATGTCCTCTAACCCTGTGTTGATGTCCTCTAACAATGATGTCCTCTAACCCTGTGTTGATGTCCTCTAACCCTGTGTTGATGTCCTCTAACCCTGTGTTGATGTCCTCTAACCCTGTATTGATGTCCTCTAACCCTGTGTTGATGTCCTCTAACCCTGTGTTGATGTCCTCTAACCCTGTGTTGATGTCCTCTAACCCTGTGTTGATGTCCTCTAACCCTGTGTTGATGTCCTCTAACCCTGTGTTGATGTCCTCTAACCCTGTGTTGATGTCCTATAACCCTGTCGTTCTCTAACCCTGTGTTGATGTCCTCTAACCCTGTATTGATGTCCTCTAACCCTGTATTGATGTCCTCTAACCCTGTGTTGATGTCCTATAACCCTGTGTTGATGTGCTCTAACCCTACCCACCCTAGACTCCGTGTGTCCCATCGGATACTTTGGTTTGGACTGTACCGGTAGATGCAACTGTGAGACAGACCAGAAATGTTTTGTGGCTACAGGTGGATGCCGTTCTGGATGTGCTACAGGTTATCAGGGTCAAGGCTGCTCAGAAGGTACAAGCATAAGTTCTATAGACTCTAAGACTATGTAGATGGTAGAAGGAATAAGTTCTATAGAATGTAAGACTATTTGTAACATTAAAGCTATATGTACAATAACATGAAAGGCTAAGTCTGTTGTTTAATATATTATAAGCAGACACAGGAAAAAATACCCAGAGTGATATTACCTACCTTATCCCAAGGCATAATAAAATCGCACTTTAAACACAACACAATCACACAACTTACACAATAAACCCGAAACCTATGCAGTATTCCCATTTAGATAACCTTGGCATGTTTTTATCACATAAGTCCTGCTTTTGTCTAATATACTCCTCTGTAAATCAACCATTAATGTGTGCAGGTGTACCTCATTATCCTAGTGATTTTATTATTTAATTAAAATATAGCTCGACAACAAACAGTAGTACATTTAAAGTTCATATTCAAGCCTAACAAACTCCCTGCATGTGTTTAGTGAAGTTATGAAAGACATTGTTTGCAGAATGTCACCTGTATGTTTGTAGTGTGTTTATAAAGTATAACGACTCGACATTGTTTGCTGAATGTCACCTGTGTGTTTGTAGTGTGTTTATAAAGTATAACGACTCGACATTGTTTGCAGACTGTCACTCAGGCACCTGGGGCATAGATTGTCTGCAGACCTGCGGCACCAGGTGTAAAAACCAGAACTGTCACAGATCCAACGGTACCTGCCTTGATGGGTGTGTGGATGGTTACTTGGGACTCACGTGCAGCGAGGGTGAGTAAAGGCCAACAGCATGCCTACAATCATGAAGGTTTTTAAAGAAATTAATTTACCTAGAGGTCGGCGTGGTTGGGTTGGTTAAATTCCTGGTTGCTAAACCAAAAAGTCCCGAGTTCCAATCCCTGGTAAATGAGTTTCGCTTAGCTGGGGACAGCCACTCTTCTAGGAGAGACAACTCCACTATCAAACACCTGCTGCCTTGTAGTTTGTTCTTGGTTGGACAAAGGCTATGGAAGCAAATCCCTAAAGAAAAGCATGCTGAAATCTGAGTCAATGGCCTATATGCGCAAAACAAGTTGACAAGTAATCCTTAATTCTGTTTGAGGGAATCAATTGCAATACTTGAATTAAAAACAAAGAAGAAGAATGGCACCAAATTTTGATACATGATACATGATAATATTATTTAAGTTTAAAAATGCTATGAGATATTGCGAATTTAATATACACGCATAAAAATAGTGGACTATAAAGTGATTTTCTGTAACTTACAGAATGTAGACCAAACAAATTTGGTCCTGAGTGTATTTTTAGCTGCCCCACCAACTGTACTGACAGCAGATGTAACTCAACTACTGGATTTTGTCTTCTCTGCAAACCTGGAAAAATTGGAAATTTTTGTAATCAAGGTATGGCTAATAATGTAACCTACTAAATTGGGGTGTTGTGAATTTGATCTAGTTATACGTAACTCTACCCGAGGTAAAATGGGTTGAGATAGATCTGATCATAGTATGCTTAATGGAATAACAAGAGTTTGCAATAAGAACGGGGACGGCTGTTGTGATGAAAATATGGCTAATTTGTAACAATCTTGCACGTATTATTGGACTTTGTTTGAATAAACCAGAACATTTTTATTCTGAAAATTAAAGTGTCACTTGGTATTGTTAGCATTGTCTTAACGTCCATGGATGTGTTTCTGTATCTTGTTGTTTCCAGAATGTGACGATGGATTGTACGGCCAGAATTGTTCCAACAACTGCAGCACTCTGTGTGAGAGCCGTCTTTGTCATCCGGTCAGTGGCGGCTGTTACAACTGTGTCCAGGGAACGTCGTGTGTGCTTGGTATGTGAGGTACTCACCTGAACTAGATACTGTAGCCTCAATAGTCGTGTGTGCTGGGTACGTGAGGTACTCACCTGAACTAGATACTGTAGCCTCAATAGTCGTGTGTGCTGGGTATGTGTGTCACTCACCTGAACTAGATACTGTAGCCTCAATTGTCGTGTGTGCTGGGTATGTGTGTCACTCACCTGAGCTAGATACTGTAGCCTGGAATGTGTGCTGGGTATGTGTGTCACTCACCTGAATAGATACTGTAGCCTGGAATGTCGTGTGCTGGGTATGTGAGGTACTCACCTGAATAGATACTGTAGTCTGGAATGTCATGTATGCTAGTTATGTGAGGCACTCAACTGAACTAGAAACTGTAGCCTAGAATGTCGGGTGTGCTATGTGATTCACTCACCTGAATATATACTGTAGCCTCAATTGTCGTGTATGTTAGTTATGTGAGGCACTCACCTGAATAGATACTGTAGCCTAGAATGTCGGGTGTGCTATGTGATTCACTCACCTGAATAGATACTGTAGCCTCAATTGTCGTGTATGTTAGTTATGTGAGGCACTCACCTGAATAGATACTGTAGCCTAGAATGTCGGGTGTGCTATGTGATTCACTCACCTGAATAGATACTGTAGCCTCAATTGTCGTGTATGTTAGTTATGTGAGGCACTCACCTGAATAGATACTGTAGCCTAGAATGTCGGGTGTGCTATGTGATTCACTCACCTGAATATATACTGTAGCCTGAAATGTCGTGTATGCTAGTTATGTGAGGCACTCAACTGAACTAGAAACTGTATTCTGGAATGACGTTGTAGGGCTTGTTTTGTTTTAAAGTATTGTTGTGATTTTACCTGGATTGTGTATGTGTTTAATATATTGCTTATTGATTTGTTTTCAGAATCAGCCGGAGAAACATCGTCAACAGCCGCTATAGTACCTGTTGTTACGCTATTAATTGTATCACTTGTACTAGTGGTATTAATTATTGTTTGGAAGTAAGTGTGGAATTTTTAAAGTATGCATAGTTTATTAATATTCAATCTCAAAATCATGTTTTATTACTTAAGATCAAAGCTATGTTTTGATTACTTTTAAGGCGACGAAGAGGAAGTATTAATAGAAAACAAATACATGAAAAGAAAACTTTTTACAAGTCGAATTCTGATGAAGTATTAACAGATGAAAATAAGGATAGTAAGTTCATTATATGATAATCACATAGATGAGTGTTACTTGTAGACATTTTCTCCGTGAGGGGAGGGCACTTGAAATTTTAGACTTAAATTTCCAGTTAAAATATGGTATATACATCGTTTTGTGTTGGGGGCAAGGGGGGCGGGGAGGTTGAAAAGAACTGTTTTTGAGAGGGCGGTGCACCCCCCCCCCCCCCCTTGAAGAGATGCCAGAAAAAACTCCGCATAAGATCATTATGTTTATAGTATAAATTTGTGTGATACATTATTTGTTTGAAAGAGGATGTGTTTTAAGTCTAAAGATCCATGTAAACACGTAAACAAACGTATCATTACAAAGGAAGTGAAAGGGTATCTAAAGAACTACATGACGTAAACCAACACGCCTATACAAATGTAGCAGAAGAGATAGAAAATACCGCCATTGAAATCAACCACTTGAGAGGCTATCTACAAGATCATGATAGCATTTTTCTTAAGGAGCAGTTTCAGGTAAACAGTTTTAACTATAAGCGGTATATTTTAATTGTTTATATTGTGTCGATTTTAAAGCATTTTTTAAGAAGTTCGCTAACATAATTTAGAAAGACACACGTTTAAAGAATATTATTTTGTTTTTAAAGTTTTATCATCGGTTTGATTTTAGCGACATAATTATTCCAGAGAATACCTCAGCCTGTCGGAGTTTCTATGCTTGTGGGTCTGGATGAGCGGAACATTAAGAAGAATCGATACAAAAATATCTGCGCATGTATGTTGTTTCTTTTCTTTATTAATTATGTATAACATAACACATATAAGGAAATACTGGTCCCTGAACAGAAATAAAATGCAATGGGGTTTGAGGTGGGGAAGGGGGTGGTTGTGTTGGTGTTTTTTTTTTTTATAAACAGACGCGATCTTTTGAGTGCAGTATACACACATAGCTAGTTACCACTGTAAAACTGCTAAAGCTGGGCTGTTGTTACAAAGCACGTGTACATGATGGTGCGTTGTTTATGTACAGCATGTTGTGAACTCTCCTTTGTGTTTACGTCCCCAGATGACCACTCTCGTGTCCATCTTAACGTGAACTCTGACCAGCAGGACAGTGATTACATCAACGCATCTTACGTGCAGGTTCGTTAAGATCTAATGCAAGATTTATTGGGTGCTACTTTCATTGTCCTATTTTATGTAGCCTATATTCGTTCTGAATTAAAAACACTTTTATAACCGCTGGAAAATGTACAGAAAACCAGAACCGTCATAGATAACAGCATAATACACAAAATCATTCCTATGCCAGTATACATATACATACAAACTGCACAATAAATACCTGCAGACTTGTTTAAAAGCTAAATGTAAGCCCTGCTGGGGGGGGGGTGGGGAAACCTTAAAATCTATCTCTATCTTGCCTCGAGTCAAAAGAAAGAAAATTATCCTAGCGGTCAATTTATATACTGACCGCTTCGGGCGGAAGGGGAACCCCGTGGCCGCTCCCCATTGGATCATCCACTCGCAGATTCGCACCAAATAAATAATCCATTCACCTGCTCACATAAATATTCGGACACAGACTGATATTTCAATACACAGTGTAGCTTTATCATTGATGATTTTTTTTGTTTTCAGCTTAAAAAAATATTCTTTCGAAATAACATGTATTGGTATTGTTTCCATAACAGGTCTAAAAGATATTATATTAGATATAATTTTTTTCTACAGGGGTATGGAGGTAAAGAAAAGTTTATTGCCGCGCAAGGTAAATCTTCTTTTAACATCTGGTTGGATTAAATTGTAATAAAGATTATATATGATTCTTTTACTAGTGACCTAAACAAACATTACCTATGTGTGTTCTATGGACAACAGGACCAACCAGTGTCACAGTGAACGACTTTGTGAGGATGTTGTGGGAGCAGAGGGTGGACACAGTGGTCATGCTGACCAACTTGACGGAGGAGGGGAAGGTAGGGTCGGTCTGTTGGGTTGTTAGGGTCACCTTTGTATAAACAATGTGTTAGGTCGTCACGTTTATATCAGTATGGTTGACCTCTAGGTGGTAACGGTTGTCTGTGTATGGTCAGTCTGTTGGAGGTTAGATTACATTTTGTACGGTCGATGTATAAGATGCGTAGGGTGGTCATTGTACTTTCAGCCTGTCGGGTAGTTAAAGATATTTCAGCATGTGATTAGAGGGTTACGGTTAATATTTGTATGGTCGATCCAATAGCGGATATGGTTATCTCAGTAATTCTTCAAATATTATAGTTAACTCATTATTTATAAACAATGTACTATTTTGTTTATTAATTCAGTCAAACATAACTTGCTTGTGTGACCCGTGTATTAGATCAAGTGTGTACAGTACTGGCCAGAGGAAGATGCAGTAGAGTTTAACGGTATAGAGGTCAGTCTAGCGGTGACTCGAGTTTTTGCTGACTACACCATTCGGAAATTGGAATTAAACCAGGTAGTTGGCTCATGGTTACACTGTTTTTATTTAGGATTGGATCGGTCTCTTTCTCTCCATTTCTCTCACACTTGGTCTCCCCCCACAGAGCGGCAGCCCCTCCCACACACTGACCCACTACCACTACACATCATGGCCTGACAAAGGTGTGCCCACCACACCGTGGAGTCTTGTAGACTTTGAACAACGTGTGGCCGCAGGTGTTACTTCAGTTCCTATAGTCGTACACTGCAGGTACTCTAACGCTTCTGACTTGAGCTTCGGTTAACTGCTATTATTTTTTTAAATTTAAGTAAAACGAACCCAATGAAGTTTTATTTTTTTAATTTTTTCATTGTAGAAATAACTTAAATACGAGAGAAAATTTGAATCATGGTGTTTTTTCTAGTCGATATGGGATTCGATATGTTTTCATCAAACTTTAATTTTGCTCAAAGTCTAAAGTATTTTTTTAAAAATCCCAGTGCTGGGGTGGGCCGTACAGGGACCTTCATCGCTCTGAGAAACTTGATGAGAGAAGCTGAAGCCACTGGTCGCTTTGATTTCTTTCAGACGGTTCTCAAACTCAGACAGGATCGGGTGTTGTTGGTACAAACTGCAGTAAGTTAAACCCGAATTAAAATACAGTCATTTTAAAACAACCGTAAGTTAAACTCGTGTTAAACACAGTTCAAAACAGCCGTAAATTAAATCGTTATTAAACAGTTTAAAACGGACGTAATTAAACCTGAATTAAAACACAGTCAGTTTAAAACAGCCGTAAGTTAAACACGGGTTAAACACAGTTTAAGATAGGTAACCTACACATTTTACACCTGACTAGACGAAGGATGACTTTTCAACAGGAACAATACGAGCTTCTCCACAAAGCTGTACTGGTAGCTTCTGTTTGTATGGGACGAACCATCTCATCTACTTGTATAACACAGAGGTTAGCGGCCCTGGAGAAGAGGAATCTGACGGGAAAAACAGGGATAGAAGCTGAGTTTGATGTCAGTGTATGACTTATCTATATCTAATCGTTCTCGTATCTTATACGTAGTAAAAGTGGTGTAGCCAGGATCGTCTCAACGGATGGGGTTCCAATTTTTACCCGGGGACAAACTTTCGATTTGCCCCCCCCCCCTCAAGCTATTGATTTGCACACCCCCCCCTCAAACTTTTGATTTCCCCCCCCCCTCAAACTTTCGATCTGCACCCCCCCTCTCATACTTTTTATATATACCGAGGGGTCTATGGGGGGGGGTTATGATCCCCCTAACCCCCCCCCCTGCCTACGCCACTGCGTAGTAATATAGATGTTAAATAAATAGTTATACCTCTATCTGTTTTAGTATTAATATAATGATGATCCATGATGATACTAGTTAAAAGTAGTCCGAATGTCGTTGGTGATACAATGTCATTAGGAAAATAGATACAATGACCACATGTTAACACTGTCATTTCTCTTGCAGTCTGTGTGTGAAGTAGTTGCTCAGTTATCAAACAAAAGTACCGATGACGAAAATAATGTCTATGAAAATAATTTTGTTTCAAACTACAGTAAGGATGGAATTATTTTTAACATATTTTTTAAAACATTATCTAAAGTTATCAATTTATATTCAAGTGTGTTATAAAAGTTTGGTTGCTTTAACGATTCCTTTTAATGTCGTATTCTTCAATACAGTAGGCCTGGACCATACACTTCATCTTGTTCCAGAGTCGAGCGGGTTAGGTGAACACGTCAAAGCCGAGCTGGTTCCTGTAGGTTACACTTGATCGTTAAATTTAAGCGTTACATTTTAGCGTTACATTTTGGGCGATTTTCTAATTGATTATTTTTTTAGTTTTATTTGTAATTTATTAAAAAAAACATTATTTCAGAGTTTTTATAGAAACTATTTCGTTCTAAATGTTAAACTATGTAAAAAAAAATTTCTACTACTCATATTTTCAGAGCTTTACAAAACCAAACGATCAAATATTGACCTATACTCCAGATCAATCAACAGTTATTGATTTCTGGCGGCTTGTGGCTCAGTATAACGTGTCTCTGGTTGTTGTGGCTGAGGGAAAGAGCTCACAGTCAGATGCTGTAAGGTTTGAGCATGTTACACAATAGGTGTAACATTAACTGATTTAAATACACATAATAATATTAGTCACAGGCTGAATTGAATGCAAAAGAAATCAAAAGTAATTCAAACTAGCCTTCGCCATAATTAGCAAACATCGGTGTGTAAGACTGTACATTTTTACATTAACACACACACACACACTATCTCTCTCTCTCACACACACACATCTATATACATATAAACGGTATGTATATATAAACTCACGTTATTTCTCATTTTTTTATCATTATTGTAGACAGAAGAATACGTATCTAATAGCTTAAACGAGACGATGAATTTTGGACCACATAAAATCAAATCTCTTGATGTTCAAAGATCGAAACTATGGGAAGACATTCAAGTTTCAGTCAAGTCTAAAGTGAAAAGCTCCGCCTTAACAACCATGAAACAGGTTAGTAATAAATAATTATCTATGTGTTTTCATTTGACTTAGTTGGTGATCAGTGTGAAGAATATAATATAGATCATTACATTTGACAACGGTATAATTGGTTCGATATTTTAGAGTTCTGGTGACACTACAGTAACAATTATAAAGAGCAACTCGTTAGATCTGGATGACAAAAACATACTCAAATTTGTGAAACATATCAGGTCCAGCATCTCTCGTAAACAGGGGAGGGTACTCTACATGTGCAAGTAGGTGGAAAATATTAACACAGTTATCTCCTTTTAATACCTAAAACAATTTCATTATTTTCATTGAAAAACCATTATCAAGTGTTCAATATATTTTTAATTGTGACAATAGAAAGTTACAAACATTTTAAATCGGTCTGACAATATTTTTTTCTACAGAGATGGAGTTACACTCAGCAGCTTGACGTGTGTGTTGTGTCTGCTACTTGACAGAATGGACACTGACCAATGTCTGACAGTACCGCTCGTGGTTGGCGCCGTGAAAAGTGTCAACCCGGGTTTTATCCCTACACTGGTATGATCTTTAGTACATCTTTTCTCCATCCTACACTGGTATGATCTTTAGTACATCTTTTCTCCATCCTACACTGGTATGATCTTTAGTACATCTTTTCACCATCCTACACTGGTATGATCTTTAGTACATCTTTTCTCCATCCTACACTGGTATGATCTTTAGTACATCTTTTCTCCATCCTACACTGGTATGATCTTTAGTACATCTTTTCTGTATCCTACACTGGTATGATCTTTAGTACATCTTTTCTGTATCCTACACTGGTATGATCTTTAGTACATCTTTTCTGTATCCTACACGTGTATGATCTTTAGTACATCTTTTCTGTATCCTACACTGGTATGATCTTTAGTCATTTCTTTAACCTGCACTTTTATGATCTTTAGTCTTTTCTTTATCCTACAATGGTGATATCTTTAGTTTGTTAATTCTTTAATCTACACTATGATCTTTAGTTCGTTTTTTTTAATCATTCTTTTGCATGATCTTTAGACAGTGGTTTCTTTATCCTACACTGGTATGATACACTTGTCATTTCTTCATAAACATTTTACTTTCTTAATGATGCAGAAATATATTGATTAAAAAAAACAACTGAACTAACAAATGTAATAAAGAGTTAAACTTAACTAAGTACTGTCTTTGAATATGATGTATACTGTAGTTCTAATCTTACCTTGTATCACCAGGACCATTATGGCTGCCTATACCGTGTGTTACACCGTTACACTGAGACAAATCCCAACTACAACAATTTTTCCTTCAAGAAACCTGTGGAAGTTGATGGTAAAGATGGCGGGAGTCTACAAGAAGATGAGAACATTTACGCCAACACCACATAATATCTACTGCTCTGCTTTCTAATGTGTATAGTAAAATATTAGAAATCTTTTGGACATTTGTTTTCAATTTATATTATTCAAAAGCAGGAATTTGAGTAAAAAAGTAATTTAATAAAATGAAATTAAAACTAAAACCTCTAATTTAAGTGTTTTAGCCAATATATCTTCTAAAATAATTAGCCAAAACGCATTTTATTAAGTATCTATTAGAAATGTTTCAATATGTATTCAAATATTGTAATAAATAACTTTATTTAATGTATACTTGTCATAAAATTTAAAAATGTTTCAAAATAAAGTCTTTTTTGTTTGCTGAATGTGTAGAAACTATTTGATAATGATTATTAATTGCAGTGTGAAAAAAAATATTATACTAGAAAAAATATTACTTTTCTTGCAAAGGGAGCTAACCAAATGAGAACGAACTCATATGCTAATCTTTTAATTTTAATACATATTTAAATTATAGTCTTATATTTATGGAAAACGTTAAATGGAAGTTTAAGAATAAGGATAGTGTTTAGAAGACGTGACTACATCTCCGAAAACGAAATCAAGTAAGAAGACACAGTGTTGTATAACTGCATGGCATTTAACAAAAGTGTGGTGGAAAAATGATGCAATTTGGATGGGTTTTTTTTTTAAATTATTTAAATTGTATTAATGTGTACAGATTGTTAATTCTTTGCTGTGTATATTTTACTTCCTTGTTAGGAGTTAAAAAATCTAAAATACAATATCAATTATAACACCTTTTAAGGTGTATAGTGGGAACAATCAGCCAACACTTATACCAGGAAGGGGATTACACATTACAGGGGAATATCCAGCAAGTATATACTATACTTAATGATAATGTTAACTGTTCGAAAAATATCATAATTTTGTATTTCAAATTTCAAGTTTCAAATTGCAATGCTTTGTTGCATTGAGTAAATTTAGAAGTTATTTCAACAGTATCTGCCAACCTAATTTACTGTAAACTTCTAACAATACTGCACTCAAATAGTAAAAATACATTTTAAGATTGGAGTTATGCAGTATATTTTATTCAAAACGTGTAGTTAAACGGCGGTGCTATGGCGAATGACTGTTATCACAAAAAACTCTACTTCACATTAGTCTCAAGAGCTCATTTCCGTCCCTGAAAAGTGCCTGGCACGCGTCAGCTTGGTATAGTGGGATCCTATCATATGTCCATCTCATACAAACAGGTCAGCTATACTTCACATGCACAATGGACCGCCATAGTAGAAAGAAATATATATATGAAACAGTTTTAGCTAAGCAGTTAGTTAGTTGCTTAATTAAAACAAACAAATGCTTTAATATTTATCTCTATCTTAGAGATTGTATTATAACTTTAAGGAAAATGCCCTCCAGCCCCCCCCCCCCCCCCAACACCCCTCGTCACCTATATAATATCACAATTTAGCACGCACCAGTCTATTCCCCTGATGACCCTTTAAAATGTCACATCCTTGAACAATCTTCTTGCACACAATTCAAACATGCACAAATGAAAATAATATTACATTAAAACAGGTAATTGCAATAGTTTTAAACATGTTTTCAATTGAAGCCATGTAAGTACATTCATAATATATATATATATATATATATATATATATATATATATATATATATATATATATATATTTATATATATACATCTATAATATAACGCTGCTGGTAGTGTGTCAGTCCTTCCTTCCTTCCTTCCTTCCTTCCGTCATCGCTATAGATTTTGGAACCATAAAAGTAAACATTCGCACCATGCTGTGCTTTTCAGTGCACCGCAGTGTCTTATTATAAGTATTAGAGTAGGGTTTGTTTATATAGCGGCATAGAGCTATTTTATAATTGCCACGGTTTTTACTCTTTCGCATAACGTCAAGAAAATATTAAATACACGCAAACTGCTAAAACGTATTAAAAAGATTAATGTCAAATATCATTTTCGTTTAGGTTCCCAGAAAAAGTGGATACATTTTAATAAGATAATAACAGTACGGTAGAAAAATCAAATTAATTTAACTCTTTTCTAATTTTGACAAAGGAGGTAATTTAAAAATACATTAAACTCACGCTAATAAAAAATGTAAATGCAAATATACGTTCGTCATAGAAGGAATTAGTGTTGCAATGATATAATTAGCAAAATGTGAATGCAAATTATTCGGATGTGTAAGAGGAAATTATTGTTAGAAAATTATAATTAGCATGGATTGATAAAAGGCAATCTTTTATTTATTTTATTCACTGAATGTAGGCCCTACTGTTTATTACTTATAATTTTTAATCAACTATTCAGCTCTATTATAGACGCGTCATCACGTTCATTAGGTGCGCAATGGTTTTAGTTATGAAACTCTATTGTAAATTTTTAAAATTTAAAGTACTGGAAAAAAATGCGTGAATCGATAAAGTGAAATATTTTATATATTATAGATACTGCCTATTATTTATACTGTTTTCTAATTATTATTCTATCTTTCGGGTTTTATAGGAGAGGCGTAGCGAGGGGGGGGGGGGCATATGTCCCCGGGTGCCGACCTTGGGGGGCGCCAAAGTGGGTTGTAAAAAATTTGCGAGGGGGGGGGGTGGTGGAAATCGAAGGTTTTAGGGCGGGGGGGGGGGGGGAAGGGGTGCAAATCGAAAGTTTTAGGGGGGTGCAAATCACCGGAAAGGGCGCGATTTGGCGCTACGGGCTAGACTGT